TGCTGCAATATTGCTAAAAGTGGCGTAAAACCTCACTCACTCACTCACTCACTCACTCACTCACTCACTCAGCTACAATTGGAGTTAATCACAGCAAGAACGAGCAGAACGTGGGCAGATTGACAATCTGAACACGTTTGATTCAAGTGGTTTGAACACCCTTTTTGTTATCTTATAACTCCAGTTTTATTATGTAAGTTTGTTTACCATATATAGATACCTCAATTTTATCTCAGTCACCTGAAGACTATATCTCAGTTTCATGGACATCAGGAATGTTTAAACCCTAAGTGCAGATTTTTGGATAATGTGATGGCTTGGTCGGGTTCGGTAGTTCCTCGATAACAGTGACAAGAAAGAAGATGAGGCTTTAATGCTTAAATTGACATTATTACATTAACTCATTTTTAAAATACAATAATAATGAAATAATTTTGAAATTAAGAAACAATGAACTTAAATATAAAGAAATCCTATTTTTGAACAAATTTACAATTTTGACCCAATTTGCCTGCTAAGGTTACTTAGTTTGGAATCAAAGATAAAACCCTGTTTGTATGTAATAATGTTTAATTTTTGTTGTTTAAACACCCCTTTGATGTCTTTCATGGATCACAGTCTTACAGATAGCGTTATATATGACCAATTAATGTACTAAGGTAATATGAAGCATTCCACCAATACTCTGATAATCACCATGCTATCACATGACTCGTATATTGAATGAAAGCAATTTCATTATTTGTGTAATTGGTTCAATAACCACCATTTATTAACATATCTTTTTAATGATATTTGCATGCTCATTTAATTCCATTCAATTACATCTCTATAGTGTATGAGTTTTTCAGATGATTTCAATGACTACAAATGGTCCAGCTGCAGATTAGACACAATTTATTTGTTTCCTGTGCTGTGTTATGTGTTGTGGGTGTTTGTTGTGCGTAAATACATTCAAGAATTGACTTTCACTTTGTGTGAGTTCATTTGAGTTTGAACCTTCATGGAGTGAGGACCAAACTGTATGAATGTAAGAGCTTGTGACGATGTCATACAATGTTTGGCCCTCACTTTATGAAGGTTCATACACCAATGAACTCACACAAAGTGAAAGTCGATTCTTATAATTTTTTATATCACTATTTTGTACCTCAAAAGATCTAGATCTATAAGCAATATTTAGTATGTGTGACTTCATGTTTACACTAACAGTCATACAACAAACAGCTGTATCGCGGAATAATGAAAAGTTTATTGTGTTCATTGAAATTCCTGCATTCTGATTAGCTGAATTGGTCATGTGTTATTGCATTCATTTCCCAATGGGGGCACTGGTGCAGAATTGCGTCCCTTGGGCACGCCAGAAACCTATGATTGTGGGTTCAAATCCCGGTTCGCCCTAATTATGTTTCTAGGTTTGTCAGCACCATACCCGTGCTCGTGGGTTTCACCAAAGTGGTAAAAGTCTTAGACCTCCATCACTTCGGGCTTTCCTCCCACATTAAGCTGACACACCGTGATATAACTGGAATAATGTTAAAAGCGGCGTTAAACCCAACTCACTCACTCATTCATTTCTCAATGAATGTAAAACATTAAGCCACGCCCATCGAGGCGCACTACTTTTATTACTGCGGAGTGTAGGGGAATCCCAATATTACAGTCGAAGGAATTTCCTTTCTGCTCACGTGTATCGTCATACACAGGACATTTAGTGACATTCCTGCATATTCATTGACCAAACTACCCTTTTGAAACCGAAAGCCGAGAAGGAATGAAACAGTAAACGTGCAGATTTGCTCGCCTGTTTTTTTTCCCGCTCGCCTCGGTTCCACAACTTTCATCATGTTCATGTCTTTGGGATTCATTTCTAACCAGCATTTTTCCAACTGTGTTTTCCTGTTTTCGGGGAACTAATGTTTGAATCTGGCAGTAACTGACCATGTCATTAGAAACAGCCGCTTTCTCCAAGTCATATTCCTTCTGGTTCGTTATAGTCGACTGTTGCAGTTCTTCTCACCTCTTGCCTTCATTGACAGGTCCTATGAACATTGTTTTGATCCTACTTTCCGTTGATTGGCTACTGACTGTGTAGGCGTGTCGAGTTTTGTGCATAAATTAAACCATCACCTGATTCATGTCACACCACAGTATATATTTCTACACCTTGAATGTTTATTAATCTCGTCATTTTTGTCTCTTGATATATACAACTGTTTTTGTTTAAATTATTGTAGATAAAACATGTTTTATGTTGTCGAATTTAATCATAAGCATTGACTGTGTATTTTTTCGGTTCATTGAGGTATGAATCGAAAAACCAGTGTGCAAACTTTTGTATGAATCTGCAACGATTCATACCTCGATGAACCGAAAAAAATACAGTCAATCCTTAAATAACATGAGAGGTGACATGAACGTATGTATGCTCAACATGCCCTACAGGAACAACTTTTGTATTTTCTTTACAACAAATGTATTTAGATAATATCCTCATTAGATGAAAAATGTCTGTGAAGAAATAACTCAGTAAGTCAGTCACAATGGCATAATACATTTGTTAATGTTGTTTATGAACCTGTGGCGATTTTTGTCATCATTGATCAACTGGTCGATCATTGAAAGGTGATTCAGGATGTGTAAATTAGACACTAAGGTAATTTCATAGATTGCTGTAGACTGTCACTGTCAGCCTAGACATGGATCATGTCGATACTTCAATGGTTTGGATGTGCATTTCTTAAAGGGTCTAAATGATTAGAAAGAACGCTTATGTATGTATTCGTGCTCAGTAATTCCAAGGGGTTTTTCATACACTTATGAATGTCAGTTTCATGGTCATGTGACCGACCTCTTGCCCAATGGATAAAACATATATCGTGTAAACTTCAAATTAAAAAATTATATGTTTGTGCATAACATAGTAAGCAGAGGAGGTATGTTGACAGCTCAAGGTGACATTTGTTTTATTTTTCACTCTGCTGATTCCAAAAGCCACAATCATAAGATTAAATAGTTTAGATTTGACAAAAGTCTTTGCCATCCAAATTATCGGACAGATCAATCATGTCCCTGGCTTCCTTTTTAGAGTAGCTTTTTCTTTTTCAAAAATTCAAAATGGCCACCACCACAGCCCTTTTCAGTAAAGAATACACCCTTCACACCAATTTCTTCTCCCACATAATCATTGGACATATGCTTTCAAATGTTTGGAGGATATTCATAGTGACTTCCTTGACAATGAAGTTTGATTTTAGTTATGAAAGGCCAAATTGGCCATCAGGTGTTGGCAGATAGACAGGTGTGATATAGTGTGTGTGAAATCAGGTGAATATTACGGGTTTATCTTCCTCTATCTCACTGTACTTGTCAGAGTTTTCATACTTCCTTACTCCTACACAAATTTTTTTTATCTTTCTGGCATATGATTGGCTGACTTTGAAAGTTAAAGTCAGTACTACCTAAGTTAGCACCACCTTTGTGGTGGAGTGGGTAGATTGCCTGTTTGTACTGTGGAAGGTCAGTGTTTCTATCTCCTGCCCGCGTCAAACCAAAAGACGTTTAAAGATGGTACTTACTGTTACTCTGCTTGGAACTCGGCAGTGAAGAGATAAAGCAAAGATTAGCTGACAGAGATATAATGTGACTGAGTGGGTAGGCCAAACTGCAGCATGGTATATCAGCTAGCACTATAAAGGCAACATAAATCCAGACTAGTTCAAGCAGCCACACACACCTGTGCATGCACATCACCATAGAAGGAAATATTCTTGAACACAAAGTTCAACCCTGTTTCACATATACAGTAGGAAATACTGTGGTTGACCTTTGTCAAAGGTCAAGGTCACCAGAATTATAAAGGGAAATTCTCATGAACAATCTTTGCAAGACTTATATTGTGATTTTATAATGTTTCATAATGTATGACTTTCAACAAGATGTGTTGCGAATATGCAGGAATTCAATGACCAGCGATTTAGAAAATAAACTGTCACAATGATGTACACTCTGCTACCCAGAGTTCCATGCGACCAGCATAGTACCTCTGCCACAGGCCAGAGCCATGTGACGATTAGACATCTTATACAGTCCATTCAAGATATTGCATAGATTTTTCATGTGTTTCATTTCTGACAAGTCTGCATAGCTAGATAAACATATGTCATAGAATGGTTAACTTTCATTGGGAAAATATCCTAAAGCATGAAAAACCATTTCCATTTGCGTAGTTATCCTATATTTACATTGGCTGTACGTGCCACGTGCTGTCATCGAAGCTCTACAGAGGGCTAGCGATACGGTCACTTTAATTTGTAAATATGTATTGTGATGCAACTCACTGTCACAGTTGTAGTATGATATTTTTATAATTATGCAAAAGAAGATGTAAAGCGCCCCCAAATACTTGCATTAGTCCGTTCCATTCTGATTCCTGAAAAAGGTGTTTGTTTACAAACAAGAGAAAAGTCCGACCACGTGATATGCAAATTAGCCTGTGGCAGTGGTGCTATGCTGAGTCACCACTGCGCAGGAGTGTGAATGATGTAACCATGTGTGTCAACACTTGTCCTTATGTCAGTGAAGGCAACATAAGAGGCCGATGCTAGTTTACGTTTCAGTTGTGATCTGCTTTCATCGTAGGTCTTCATCAAGCAGAGGTGTGGTAGAACTTGGTCACAGACACTTTCACCTTTAACAATACTTAGAGGTTGCTGACCATTTTCTGTCAACAGTTTCTTCCAGTCATGAGTACTGAAAGCACCAAGTGTCACTTGTTTGCAAACAGATCCGTTTCTGTTCCACATTGTACTGGTTGTACTGCCAATATTACTGAGACAAATACCTTACAAACAGCATTTTGATTAGACTCTCGATCTCTGCTTCTGTCAAAGCACCAGCCTCACAATGCCCGCCACACAATCAAACATCTTCTAAACATTAAATATGAGATGATGGCAGTGAAATAATAAATGGATACAAATATTTTATTTTTATTTCAGATATTTTGCTGTCTATTTCATCTTCCTGTTCTTGGGGATAGCATCGTTGCTGCCATGGAATTTTTTCATCACAGCAAAAACGGTATGAATAAGTTTCTCAGCATTTATGCTTTCTTCTAGGCTGGATGCTAACATTTATTACTGTCATGCATTTGTTGCACATCGGAGAGGCCAATGTGTAGCAGAATATGCTTCTCCTAGCAACTGTCATGGTTGTAATAGTTCACATCATAAAAATGTCCTAATGCCATTTGTCTCCAACAAAATCATTGCCCATGCCAGGAGATATCCTAATTCTCCCTTTGACTATGTGTAGTTTTATATTGTCTGCATTGGGCATGAACAGTAACCAAAATAACAGTGATATATGATGATTGATCTTTTGAATGGAGTACTTGTTTTATTAAGTCTTAAAACGATAGGATGTTTTGTCTCCAGATTCCTTTACAACTGTTGCCTGAATACATAAGAAATGTACATATCACTGGACTACATTAAACTAACTATTGAACTAACTTGTAAATATGTCAGTACATGTTGAGGAATACCCCCTCAATTGTGTCAGTACTCCTGTAGTTTGAATCCCACCGTCCTCTCCCAAGTACTTCCAGTACATGTTGAGGAACACCACCTCAATTGTGGCAGTACTCCTGTAGTTTGAATCCCACCGTCCTCTCCCAAGTACTTCCAGTACATGTTGAGGAACACCACCTCAATTGTGGCAGTACTCCTGTCGTTTGAATCCCACCGTCCTCTCCCAAGTACTTCCAGTACATGTTGAGGAACACCACCTCAATTGTGGCAGTACTCCTGTAGTTTGAATCCCACCATCCTCTCCCAAGTACTTCCAGTACATGTTGAGGAACACCACCTCAATTGTGGCAGTACTCCTGTAGTTTGAATCCCACCATCCTCTCCCAAGTACTTCCAGTACATGTTGAGGAACACCAACTCAATTGTGGCAGTACTGTTGAAGAATGACTCCCACCTTCCTCTTCCAAGTACTTCCAGTACAAGTTGAGGAATATCCCCTCAATTGTGTCAGTACTCCTGTAGTTTGAATCCCACCGTCCTCTCCCAAGTACTTCCAGTACATGTTGAGGAACACCACCTCAATTGTGGCAGTACTGTTGAAGAATGACTCCCACCTTCCTCTTCCAAGTACTTCCAGTACAAGTTGAGGAATATCCCCTCAATTGTGTCAGTACTCCTGTAGTTTGAATCCCACCGTCCTCTCCCAAGTACTTCCAGTACATGTTGAGGAACACCACCTCAATTGTGGCAGTACTGTTGAAGAATGACTCCCACCTTCCTCTTCCAAGTACTTCCAGTACAAGTTGAGGAATATCCCCTCAATTGTGTCAGTACTGCTGAAGTATGACTCCCACCTTCCTCTCCCAAGTACTTCCAGTACAAGTTGAGGAACACCACCTCAATTGTGTAAGTACTGCTGAAGTATGACTCCGAACTTCCTCTTCCATGTACTTCCAGTACAAGTTGAGGAATATCCCCTCAATTGTGTCAGTACTGCTGAAGTATGACTCCCACCTTCCTCTCCCAAGTACTTCCAGTACAAGTTGAAGAATAACCCCTCAATTGTGGCAGTACTGCTGAAGTATGACCCCGACCTTCCTCTTCCATGTACTTCCAGTACAAGTTGAGGAACACCCCCTCAATTGTGGTAGTACTGCTGAAGTATGACTCCGAACTTCCTCTTCCATGTACTTCCAGTACAAGTTGAGGAACACCCCCTCAATTGTGTCAGTACTGCTGAAGTATGACTCCGACCTTCCTCTTCCATGTACTTCCAGTACAAGTTGAGGAACACCACCTCAATTGTGTCAGTACTGCTGAAGTATGACTCCGAACTTCCTCTTCCATGTACTTCCAGTACAAGTTGAGGAATATCCCCTCAATTGTGTCAGTACTGCTGAAGTATGACTCCCACCTTCCTCTCCCAAGTACTTCCAGTACAAGTTGAAGAATAACCCCTCAATTGTGGCAGTACTGCTGAAGTATGACCCCGACCTTCCTCTTCCATGTACTTCCAGTACAAGTTGAGGAACACCCCCTCAATTGTGGTAGTACTGCTGAAGTATGACTCCGAACTTCCTCTTCCATGTACTTCCAGTACAAGTTGAGGAACACCCCCTCAATTGTGTCAGTACTGCTGAAGTATGACTCCGACCTTCCTCTTCCATGTACTTCCAGTACAAGTTGAGGAACACCACCTCAATTGTGTCAGTACTGCTGAAGTATGACTCCGAACTTCCTCTTCCATGTACTTCCAGTACAAGTTGAGGAACACCACCTCAATTGTGTCAGTACTGCTGAAGTATGACTCCGAACTTCCTCTTCCAAGTACTTCCAGTACAAGTTGAAGAATAACCCCTCAATTGTGTCAGTACTGCTGAAGTATGACCCCGACCTTCCTCTTCCAAGTACTTCCTGTACAAGTTGAAGAATAACCCCTCAATTGTGGTAGTACTGCTGAAGTGTAACATCCCAATATTCACTTCAACCTCCTTCATCCCAGTACTTTCAGTACAAGTTGAGGAACACCACAGCGCCAGAATCAAGTTACAGCGACCCAGCCACCCTGACAGAGCTGCAGCTGCTTCTACTCAGCTATCTTGAGATATCCTCCACCGTATCCAACTTAGTCTGCTTGGGTTTTACAGTCATGCTTGTGAGATTGTAAGTAACAGGATAGGTGAAACAGTTGGATATTCATTAAGTTAGTGTGGTTTCTGGTTGTCAAACCAGTAGGGCTGGCTATCGATATAGATCACAGAGATTGATAATCGCTAACTAAATATCGATCGATTATTGATAAATATTGGAGAAGGAACTTTAAGCAAATATGCAGAAATCAACAGATTTCACACCGCTGGTAAGCCGTGACACATTTTTGCATGGATTACTTTGTGAACATTTGAGATATAACAAAAACAATTGCTTTCCATCTTTGACAATGGCAAGTCTGTTTCGGTAAATCTAAATCTTATTTCATCACAATAGTTTATGTGAGTTAATATCAATGACAACAGTTTCATATCGGTAATCATTAACATTTCTTCCCATTGACGATAATTCCAAGTATTGATCTTTTTAGCCAGCCGTCCAAACAAGTGATAAACCATTAGGGTCATTCCCAGTGCCACAAAGCTGTTCATAAATGACAAACACTAATCCGTGCTATCTTGACTCCTCTTCCCGAGTTAAGAGCGTTAATTGACTATAAAAGTCCAGTTTCCACCCTTGCCGAACTATCCTCGAATGGCTATTACGAGTTATGTCCTTTCTATGTTCCTCCTATTGACCAATCAGATTCTATCTCTCATATCAGTTGCATTTGCGTCAAACAAACGGGTGGTGCCCACTCAAGATGATCTGCTCAATAATCAAGATCTATGTTGTAATAAAACAGGTCTTACCCAGCAAACTGGATCAAATCACTTGAGCACCTTGATTAAACTGGACTTTATAGTCAGTTAACTCCCTTGCCTCGGGAAGATGATCCATACTGGGAAGTTAATAAACGTGTCACACGCTGGGACAGAGCTTGCTTTGTGATGTGCCATCCAATGCTAACATGTGTTGAAAAAATGTGATGTTACGATCATATTCAATATGTTGCAGTATATCCCTCAAGAAGAGAGTGGTACTGTCCCTGTCTCTGATCATCCTGGTGTTTGCTGCTACCACAATCCTGGTCAACATCAACAGTGATGAATGTATGTACTTACTGCATGACAGTCAGTGCATAATGTAACCAAACTCCAACATCCACTGTAGTCCAACATTCGATATTCATATTCACAGTATAGTTTGATGCTGTTGGAATTCCTGATAACTGATATTTTGTATTGATGAGAGTTGCCTTTGTTCATCGGTATGGCTTGTATCTATTGCATGCAGCTATTGTAATACTTATCATATATAGAGGATGTTATGTTTTTGTTCGTGTCATACTTTTTACGACCCAAGTGTCTGAATACCGGAATTTAGGCACGAGTGTCGTAAACATAGTAGGACATGAAGACGAATATAATATTCTATTTATTACCGAAGAGGATATCTACATACAGAGACAAATTTTAGTGTTTACCTATGAGGACAGCAAGTCGCAACAGCAGCGGAACTACAATTTGTCAATGACATCAACAGTCTTCTGTTATGACGTCGTTTCTAGTGTGACGTGATATGATCCTAGGGCACATATGATTTTTATGAACCTTGACATGGTTGCCCACATAGGTAATAAATAGGTATAAGATTAGCAGGTCAAGGATTGTTGTGGCTCTGGCAAAAGTTAAACAAACAGACATCCACCCACTTTCATTAAATGTTACATATACACTTATCGGACATAGAAACACATTTCCATTTAATTTCAGTGTTTACTTTTTTTGGTTATTTTCAAAACCCAAACTGAAAGTGCTAAAATTAAAGATTATGTGAAATGCAAAATTCAGCCACAATTGTCATTTTTAAAGGATGTATTTTGATGGATGCACATCTTGAAAATGAAAACTTTGATCAAACATGGTAACTGAAATATTTTGAATACACATATTCAAATTTCTGTAATATTTGGCAAAATAGCCACAAACATCAAGTTAAGTTGTTCTGGATACTTAGGCATGTGATAATTAACTAGAACAGCTTTCTTACTTTCACCAATGACTTTGCGGTACAACAACACAATTATGAATATTCTCTTGTGTTTTCAGGGCAGACAGGTTTCTTTGGAGTGACAATGGCGTCAGCAGCCATTATTAATGGTAATATATTTCTGAATTCAATTTGTCCACATGATGTACTGAGGTTATCATATCTGTTGTTATCACGAGTGTACTTAGAACTTAACACCAGCATTAGCATTGAAGGACACCCATTTGTTGCGGTGGGGTAGCCTAATAGTTAAGGCGTTCACTGATCACGCTGAAGTCCCGGGTTCGCTTCCCCACATGGGCACAATTTGTGAAGCCCATTTCTGGTGTTCCCTAACGTGATATTGCTTGAATATTGCTAAAAGCGGCATAAACCATACTCCTTCACTATCAATTGATTACCAGATAATCCAAAAATTAAAATTTACCATTAGCACAGTGCTGGTCTAGGTAGTGGGGGCTATGAAGTCATAGACCCCAGCAGGTTGTATACTATAAATGATAGCACAGTGTGTCGATTCCAGGTCAGAATAGGTCCCCATACCCCCATGCTTGTTGTAGGAGCTGTCTAAACCCAGGATTGTCTGGTCTCAGTGTGTGAACTTGTTGATACCTCAGTACTGTATATCTATCTGTCACATGGCTTAGGCTATCAATCATCATTATACATGTACCTGGACCGGATATTTTTTGCAGACTGTTGTGATATAACTATCGCTGGTTGGTGTTAAACAACTTCCACTCACTCACTCAATCATAAGTACATGTGTCAGCAATGAGAAGCAGTCATGTTGCTTAGCAACACTGTTCCTTTGTGATGTTTTATTTGATATGTCTGTGAATGTTACAAATGTCCTTTTCCTTGCTAATGATGTGAATACTGAATCTTGTTAAAAATGATACGATGATATGGTTGATATTGAATGTCAGCCTCGTGACAGAATTTCAACTGTCAACCTTTTGTATTATTGCTGGCCTAAATTGAAGGCACAATGAAACAATGGATGTGGAATCATGAAGACCTTTATGGGCCCACGGGGAAGGCCTAATTTTGCATTCCAGAAACACTAGAAATGCTGACATGAGAGTTATTGGACATGTTGATATGCCTGACAGCTGCTTGTTATTTGACCAGCAAGTGTTGGACTTATGACATGATCATGTACAGTTATCTTTGAGTAGAAAAGGATTTCATTTGATCTTTATACTTACATTTCCTGACAAAATGAGCTTGGTCAGGGACTAGTTCAGAAAATGCTTCTAAAACAAATTGTGATGATGCTTCACATGATCATGTATGATATGTTCATGCAAGTTGTTGACAGATGACCCCAGTGTTTGAGTGCATGATGTTTTTTTGTGTGGAACAGGTGCAACAGCTGTGATGACAGGGTCCGTGTTTGGGCTGGTGTGTCGATTTCCCCCTATGTACACTCAGTCAGTCATGACTGGACAGGTGAATATTCTGCTGCTCATCTCAATCAAAGCTTCCAGATATCTTATGTAATGGCATGTTGTCCATGTGGTTATCCATCTGTTTTCCAATACGAAAGGTATAAAAATACACCAAGAAGTAGCATCATTATCCCCCCGGTGTGAAAAATAGGGGGATATTGCCATCAGCATGTCTGTCTGTCCATTCACCAGCCTTCTGTTTCCGGACCAGAACTCCAAAACCAAAAAAAAATTCTTGTTGAAACTTTCTATATAGATCAGTCTAGTGGGGAACTGGTGCCTTTTGATCATTTGGGATTTTATTTTTTTAAATGATATTTTTTTTCATGACAACAATTTTGACTTACCGTATTCGACGTAATAAGCGCCCTGCTCTAATAAGCGCCCACTGCGACATTTGCTAATATATTGGCTTGTGAACAATCCCATTTAGCACCCCTTCCGATTGATCAATGTACACAAGACTTATGTATTCGCGTACAATACGCACTCGTGTGTTATATGCATTCTTAATTATGGGCAATTAAATTCTGGAAAAATATATCTGTCGCATATAAACATTTCAGTCTGTCAGCATAAACCACGAAATTTATCTTTCAACTCTGTTTTTTCCACCAAAATAATATTCTAATAAGAGCCCCCTATTTCTAATTTTGAGAGCGCCCTGGGCGCTTACTACGTCGAATACGGTATAGTGAAAATGAGGGTAGTGCTCGTTTCTGGAGTTGAACTCTAAAACCATTGAATGTTCCTAGATGAAACTTATCATACAAATCAGTGGTGAGCTGGTGATTTGGGATTTTTATTTATTTGATGTTCTTATGATTTTGTTATGAAAAGTTGAATGTTACTGAAAATGAAGGTGGTGCTCGTTTCCGGAGTCAAACTCCAAAACTGTTGAATATTTCTTGCTATAGAGATCAGTCTTTTAGTGAACTGGTGCCTTTTGGTGATTTGGGATTTTGAAACATACTGAACAGCATGATTTCTTTCTTCACTGAACTGAAGGCATCCAGTAGCAATGAAACAAAAGTGGGGTATTATAGGTAGACAAACTCCGAATTGCACCAAAGGGTGTGTCATCTCCTGATGACTCTTGTTTACATTTTGTTATAAATATATTTCCTGACTTTGATTTCAAGCTAACAAATATTGGACATTTCACGGCCTATTACCATGATTACTAAAACAACGTAGGTTGAGGCTTATATCATGTTATATGTTATTGTTTTATAGTGTTATATGTTTAATGAAAAGTTATGTTATGGAGACTTGACAAAACCCCATAACATAAAAATACTTAAAAAGCTGAGAAATGAATGTTCTGAAATGCTTTTGGGTGGGGCTATGGAGTGGCAGCACACATCCATCTACAAGACACCTCCTCGCCCCTGCCCTCTTACCCATGGTGTGCCATGTTAGTGTCATCTATCATGATGAAGGTTGGAAGTAAGTGACAGTGAGGTTCGTGTAAACATTCTGAGCCTGCTCTTGTGGTCAGTCACCTGAGATAACTGTATAAGTGATTTATCTAGCCTTACTTCATTTTAGACATCTCCTTTGAAACCTCCTGGGCCCTGTTCCACAAAGCGATATTAGCACTAAGGTGATCGTAACTCCCATACTTCAACATAGGCTTATGATGATTGTAGCACTAAGATCACTCTGTGGATGATAAAATGAAATTCTGAATGTAACAAATGTGTTATATTTGGGATAACGCTTTCTTAGTAAAGTACAGATTCTTGTGCTTTTGGGGGTTGAGTCACGTTATTGAAGTAAATTCTGAATGGACGATCCCTTAAATTGTGTTTCCAAAACTAACCACTGAAATAACATGGCCACATTATTTTTCATTTTGAGACTTGATTTTCTGTAAGTGTGTGGAATACCCTACAGTGCTGTGTTGGTGTGCCACCGGGAATATGGAGGTTGTACCCTGCTATGACGTATCATTATAAAGTATTCATGCTTGATTTCTTTTTTGTATTGAAACTTTTTGTTACTTGTGTTTCGATATTCTTTAAAGTTGGTTGTTGATGTCCTTTGTAATCTATGTAGCAAATATTGAAGAAAACATCAGGTGAGCTACAGAACCTTGTGGCTCTACTCTTCGGACAAACTGTTTCTTTAGTATCACGTTTCCACTGTGAATTTGTCCTTGCTGGGTTGACATGTAATACCTGTAAGATATGTACAAGTAGAAATCACAGGTATCATGAACTGTGTAAATATAACCTGTTTGATATGTTATTGAAGTACTAGACTACATTGACATGTTTACACATCTGACATAAGTCTTCCTGAGTAAATGTGTTTCTGTTCCTTTTGTGATTTTGTACTGCAATCAATATACAGGCTTACTGACCTGCCAGTCAGAAATGTCACTTACTCGCATTTCCACCAAAACCTGTAAATCAAATGTCAATTTGACACTGTATAAAGATTCCAACCGATCAGTATAATGGGTGACATTTCTGGTGAGTTGTGACCCATATTTGCCAGAATTAGGTGGTTGTAGTTGAATTCTCAAATTCTTTATGATACTTGTCACCACGATACCCATGCTCTTGAATTCACCAGTGTCAGTTTAAGCCTTCCTCCCACCATCTTCCCGAGGGACGGGAGTTAACTGACTCTAAAAGTCCAGTTTCTATCCTTGCAAAACTAGGCTGGAATCGATCGTAGCGCCACCAGTGGCAACGCCCAGTCAAGATGATCAAGATATATATTGTAATAAAACGGGTCTTACCCTGCGAAGTGCATCAAATCATGTGAGCACCATGATTAAAAACAAATCCTGCAAATTCTGCAGTCAACCAAAATTTGCACATTGAAATCCATGTTGTTTATGAACCGGTTGTCGAATTCGTTATGCTATGCATAGACTCATTAGTCCAGCCAAAATGTAACTCCATTATTGCTGCCTAGTTTGGTAATTGTGGAAACTGGACTTTTACGGTCAGTTAACTCCCTTGCCTAGGGAAGATGTCCTCCCACTTAAAGCAGACATGGCATGATACAACAGGCAAGTGTAGTTTAAACACCCTCTTGTTGGTATTGACATACATTATTTACAAATGTATAAAAGATGACAGTACAGTAAGGAACGATGAGAATAGAAAGTAACGAATATTGAAGAAAAGAGATATATTAGACTAAATGATGTAAGATTGCACTGTCTAAATACATACATGTACATATTATGACTTGTTGGTAGGTCTGCACTTCCGTGCAAGAAAAGTTTCACTTTATTTGGTATACTTGTAAGTATGCGTCTTAATGTTAATATAAGTTGTTCTTTCTGACAAGTATATGATGGACAACAGGCATTTAACCCATCTCACTTCCTATCTTCTTTCAGGCTGTTGGAGGTACGTTTGCTGCACTGGCCAGCATCTTCTCCCTCCTTGGGTCAGGCACAGTTATAGAAAGTGCGTTTGGCTACTTCCTGACTGCCACAGCCGTCTGTACGGTTGCCTTGCTGGCATATGCGCTCCTGTATTACTTTGTAAGTGAACATTTGTGTATTAGTATAATGTGCATCACTGGCAGCGAAATGTGGTCCTTGTTTGGTCATATGTGACCCAGTGGTAACGGTGATGTAAATTCGTTATTCAGAGTCTGTAAGGATAAAAAAGACTCATAGATATTGACTGATAATGTAAGCCGAAGGCCTGACCCAATTTCACGATTCTTCGGGCTGCCATTTTTTCGTCAAGACCTCGGAGTAATTGTTTACCCAACTTATACACCGAAAGAAATATCTGAAACAACATTTGTCATCAATTTTTTGATTCTATGAAAATTAGAAAACAGATGTAAAATATCTCTTACTGGCTTATGTGTCCTTGAAAAAGAGATTCTTACAAGAATTGTTTGTCAGCACCTCTGTGGCCTTGTGGTTCACTCAATAGGTTACTAGTGTAAAGGTTGTAGTTTTGATCCCACTGAAATAGACACAGTGATACACGTAACATTTGTTGTTTAAGTTTTACATCATTCCTCACATTTACTTACAGTCCTAACCAGACTATAAATAGCGTGGTATTCTGCGAGATCTTACTGTTTCACAGACGTTGCGATGATTAGGCTGATCGGATGTTGGGGCTTGAAGTTAGAATTGTAATATTTGTAATGTGGATTGTGTTCAAATGCAAAATGAATCTGTGGAACAGAAGGACTTTCTGCAGAATATTTCTTGCACAGCAGGACTTTCTACAGAATATCCCCGAGACACAGGTATATGCTGTCCTCACCAGATGATTATAAGCAGACATGTATCATTTGGTGCACAGTGGTTTTAGGCATCGTCAAGTCATGAATCCGAGTTGCATCCCGTAGTTTCTGTGGTTCAGGCATCATAAAATTGTAATGCAGAGTTACATCCCCTAGTTCCAGTGGTATAGTTATCACGAAGTTTTGTTGCAGAGTTGCATCCCTTAGTTCCAGTGGTTATAGTTATCACAAAGTTTTGTTGCAGAGTTGCATCCCTTAGTTCCAGTGGTATAGTTATCACAAAGTTTTGTTACAGAGTTGCATCCCTTATTTCCAGTGGTATAGTTATCACAAAGTTTTGTTGCAGAGTTGCATCTCTTACTAGTTGCTGTAATTATTTTCACTCATTTGATATTTGTGAATACTAATTATAATGTCCTTCTTTGCTTTCAGGAGTTTTCAAAATATTATATAACAGAAACAGGTGATTATGTTATTTACTTCTTCTGACAAAGAATTTATTTATGAAATTGACATGTTAATAGAAAGGGTAAATAAAGCTTGATATTAATAATTGATGCTAAGTGCTTATGCTCCTTTAAGGATATGTATTTTTAATGGTATGGCTCTATGTACAACATTGGGGCAAACATAATAGGTTAACATGGTTGAATATAATTTCATCTCTTGATTGAAAACATAGACTTTGATTTAGCCTCTCAAATGATATGAACCATTTAACCATGGTGACAGCTAGAGTATTTCTTGGTTTCCAGATGAGAATCACCTGAATGCCCAAGACAGTGAGGGACTAATGTCTACAGATCATCTAGGACATATAGAATTCTATACCACAATTGTTAAAAAGGTATGCTTTTTGACCAGACCAGATAAGATGTTCCTAGAATTTTCTAGACTAACAAAAGTAAGAAAAGGGTAAACTAGAATAGAACTGTTTAATGATAGTTCTCAGAAAAAAAACAGTAAATTGGTGAATTGTCACCTTTAACTCACTGAAATTTTATACATCAATAATGTGTTTAACGTTAATAGTTGATTTACATCTTGCATTGCATTAAAACTAGAATGCTTAGGTAATTCAGGGAATACAATACTAGCCCAACCATCAGGCATGCAACTTTTCAAAACTGACCGTCTGTCAGCAAAATAGACCGTCTCGGACTGTCGAGCAGGTGGTTATTGTAAACATTGCTCCAAGGGCCCCCGGTACCCCATGCCTTGTCATAAGAGCTGACTGGGGATCCGGGGATTGGACTGAATGTGTGTCAGTGTACCACAATGGCAGTCTTCGCTGCTCATGCTGTCAGTCACTGGTTTGCCTTGACCAGATTCGGTTATTGACAGGCTGACATGGTATTGCTGGAACTGACGTGATATTGCTGGAAATTGCTGACTAGGACATTCAATGACTCTTGACTCAAAACAGTTAGGTGCTACAGTGAGGCTGTTCTTACACCAATTGATCCTTGTTGTGTACTGATGCGAATCTTTGTTCCAGATTTGGCGCCAAGGCATTGGCGTATGTGTGGTGTTCACAGTAACGCTGTCAGTATTTCCAGCAGTGTGTTCAACAATACGGTCAGGGGACTATCAACCGGGGGACCCCTGGTCAGGTAGGATGTACTGGACATTTCCATACATGTTGTACTGCCATTGAAGATCTGGGGCAGAATAGGTCTTCAGCAACCAATCCTTGCCATAAAAGTGACTATGCATGTCTTACGAGGCTACTAACAGGATCGATTGGTCAGGTTTGCTGACTTGGTTGATAAATGTATCCCAATTGCGTAGATTGAGGCTCATGATATCAGTCACTGGATTGTCTGGTCCAGACTTGATTATTTCCCTGGGAAAATGACTGTTTTCAACGTCTGTGTAAATGGGTAGCTGTAAGAATGCCAAATAGTAGAGCAAAAACACACTGAAAGCACACTGATCCTTTGACCTGTATAATAATGTCATACTTTGAGTACTTGTTGTGGAATCTTGTGCTTTATGTTAAAATGTACCTACTAGGGATTCTGGATTAGAATGTTCCCCAGGTCCTTAGAATAGGTTGACTGTGTGTCACAATACCCTAGCGTGGACTATGTGTCACCCTAGGTTGACTGTGTGTGTCAGTACCCTAGCGTGGATTGTTGCTAAATTTTGCGAACGAAAATCAGGGCACATCAGGGCACATGTACGTTATGACATAAATTTCTGATGATACAATATGTAATTTGATTGTTAGGTTGTGATACGATACATCAAGGGTGGACATGTGACATTTATAAGCAGTCATAATCAATCAAATAACAGACACTAGGACTGGGAGGAGTCCAAATTTACGCCCCGGGTACCCAACACCCTATTCCCTGTCACTACCCGGGTACCTGCTGTAGATATTGAGAGATAGGTACATACTGTCCGATTTGACCGTAGCCGTATCAAAATGTATTTAGAAACACGTGTAAAACAATCTGGTCATGCATACACTGAAGTTTACTGCATGAAGTTTTATCTTTATTCAAACATATAAAAGTCAGAAGGAATGGGTGCATTGTCAGAAAGAAATGGGAACATTAGTGACTTTTTATTCAGTCATGTGTCAATCAAAAAGTGGAGATACAATAGCTGTATTTTTTAGGTGTAGGATTAAACGTTTAAATAGTAGACCTATGACTGAGTAGAATAGAGATTTTCTAAAGCTCACGCCTTCAATGTCTATAAGAATGACAATAAACCAGACACATCAATGTTTTCAGATAAATTCTTCATTCCGGTGGTATGCTACCTCTTTTTCAACCTGGGTGACTGGATCGGTCGTCCAATCTCAGGGTGGATACAACAGGTTGGTGGTGTGAATACTGAAGCTACAGTAATTGCCAGTAGCATGTGAATACACAGTCTGGATTTATTAGTGCATTATATTTATACTTGAGTATCCTGCATTACTCCTGAATGCATTTACAAATGGTGTTGAAACACTCAAAGGATTCAAGAGCGTATGCTGAGACAGGTCTTGTCTCTGGGCTTGACAGCAGTAATGTGCTGATCAGTGACGTCACCACTTCCGGGGTCACATGGGAGCTGTGTGATAGGGTTAGCCACACAACCGGTTGGAACAACTTCTTCGGCAAGACCTCTCACAAGCTCTTTCTCTCTGTCAAGAACAAGCAGTAAATGCATTAAGGAGTAATGCAGGATAAGCATACAAATATGTCAAATATCTAGGATTTTACTAGTTTTTTCCCATTTTGTATGATTGTTTATAAATAACAAACACTGCCCATCATCAAAGTAACCTGCCCGCATTCAGTCATTATAAATATTGAAAAATAACGAAAAATAAGAGACAAATCGCGTGTTGATTCAGTTGAAATAATGCTAACAATTACTTGATAATCTACGAGAAAGTTAAATAAAAAGAGTCGGGCAGGTTGAGGAAAATTTCAGGCAGCCCAACTGAGAAGTTACCAGCTATGGGCAGGCAGTTACTTCACACACTTGGTCTGGCTAAGTGACTTGGTTGGGTATGTGTTATCATACCCAGAGAGCGCTGAATGTTGCCCATAATATCAATAACTGGATTGTCTGTTTGAGACTTCATTTTATACAGGCAACAATACATAACAACTAACAAACAAATCTGAACTGCCTTACTAGCAAGTCAGACGGATCTTTAAATGAGGATGTTTATTCTATTTCAGCCGAGCTATCGTCATCAGAACTTGTTGTTCATACTGTGTCTGTTTCGAGTTGTTCTGGTGCCCCTGATTATGTTTTGTGACGCTCAACCAAGAAGCCTTCCAGTGTGGTTCCACAATGATGCATTCCCTATCGCCTTAATTATCATCCTTGGCATCACCAACGGCTACTTCGGAACACTGAACATGATGTATGCTCCACAGTAAGTCATGGAAGTGAATAGTCCTAATGATTCTGGGTCAGGCATGGCACGGGTAACGTCTTCAAGCGTCTGTGAAGAGTTGTGTCCCTTGTTACATGATCCAATGGTTCGAATCCCATATTTGCATTAATTAGTTCTGATCCTTGGCCTGTCAGCACCATACCTGGACTCATGAGTTTGACCATCGTGTTAAATGTCTACAACTTGCATCACGTTTAAATTTTTCTCCCAAATTGGGATAGCAGAACTATACAACATTTCAACTCACCCACTCACTGATTTTCCTGTTGATGTAATTGTTGTTTTTATGTATAGTCTTGTGAAGCCCTAATTCAAGTCAAAGTTCTTTTGAGGAATCAATCTCTTATTATGAACATATCGCTATGCCTGTTTATGATGCCAACTATTTGCCCTGAACACTATCATGGTAGGTAAATGTGGAGGTTGAGATAAGGTAACAAGGATTGAGTGAAGTCAGTTGCCCTGTTTCCCTGATGTCTGTCCTCACTGTTCATGTTGTGTTTCAGGCGGGTGCCGCTGGGCCAGGCTGAGGGAGCAGGAGTGTTGATGTCACTGATGCTGACTCTAGGATTAGCACTTGGATCCGGGCTGTCTATCTTACTGATAAAGTTGTTGTGATCTAACACTGTACTCAGACATGCAATCTCAGTGTTTCATCTCCATGGAATAAATACTATAAAAAACACACTGTAAGGCTAAAAAAAGAATGACTTGGTTCTCTGGCACCACTTGCATCATCATAAAGTCTGCACCACGTTTTGTTTTTATTTTCATTTTCCAACAAAATTAAACAATCCTAATACATGTACTTAAAACAATGCTTTCCAATATAGCATGCAGTTGCTTCCCTTGACATGTCTGCAATAGGAGTTTGTATTCTTGTTCTTATAGGGAGGCCCAGAGTCATTGTGGGAGAACCAATTCTTTTATATTTTTAAGCCTAACTGATCATGTTCCTCTTTATCACACTGTGAATTTTGAGAAACACATAACTCAGGATCTTCTCTTTTTTCTGTGAACATTTTAACAAAACTGGTTGTATGTTGTGTTTTGATAGTCATTGAAAATCTGCAAAACTCATATATCTGCAAATTGGGGCGGTGATGTAGCCTAGTGATGAAAGTGTTAGCTCATCACTGAAGGATGGGTTCAGTTCTCCACATGGGTACAATGTGTGAAGACCATTTCTAGTTTCCATGCACCATTATATTGCTTGGATAGTACCCTCACTCAGATCTGTAACATCATATATAGTGACCAACAAATTACAAATTTACAATGAATTGCTTCAATTATGCATTTACTGACTCAGAAAATCATCTAGCATCCCTTGTACACAATAATGGAGACTTTACTTCCATATCTGGGTCAAACGGACTTAAATTCAATGTTTTAACTTTGATTCACTTAGCAGTGTGTGGTTAGGTAATACCCAACACTGAGCTGTGTGCCAAACAGGTTTGATTTTGATGTAAAAACAACTGGACTCATTTTGTATATTTGTTCTGATGCACATAGTAATTTCAACAATTTTGTGCAATAAGATGTACATAGAAGGTATACATTGGTTTCATATGCACCATCGTACTCTCATTGACTGCTGTTTTATATTTCCTTGTTTCTCATTTCCTCACCAAACATATGCTCTGTTGACCTGAAATTTAAAAAAAAAAATTGTGTTCTACAAAACCTGACTTACAAATAATTACATGTTACTTAGTGATGGACCAAGGTTGATACACAAAATTGATAAATGAAAGTCTAAAGTTACAGAAGTCCAAAGTACCGGTAATGCCATACGTGATGTACATGTATTAAGTGCCATGCTCCAATAGGCACCTCTTGAGTAACTTCTTCTCCAATCTGAAAGTAATCATTATAAGCACCCGTACTAAGTTTGAAAAATGTTCATGACAGTATGTATTTTTGTGTATTTTACAGATTGTTTTACAGAAAACAGCAGCGTAGAAGGGGTATATATTTGTCTAGTAACTATTATCTAAAAAGTTTCAGTTGCAATGAAATTTGAACTAAGTTTGTTCAATACTAAATTACAACTTCTGTATGGTTTCAACTAACGCCCCCTTTATTGAAGTTTGCTAAGTGCCAGGTTGCTTACTATGGCATGTACGGTAAGAGATATCTGTAAATATCTGTTTGTCTTTTGACTTTCAGTGCTTTAAATGGGACATGTCTTGGATGTAGTCTGGTTTAGACAGATGCCAGTTGGATTCCAGTTATGTAATTCAAACAGTCAATTGTTTTCTGTAGCACCCCGGTGGCCGAGTGTGTGTAAATGTGGGGTCACAAGAGACCCTGGCATGGCGCCCCATGTTGTTCTCCTTAGAGAAGTCTTGGATGTTATGGAACTTCCAAGGCTCCTTCACTTGTTCTGTGAATCACTAGTATGAATTACATACTGCTGATCCCATACATCACTGCTGCACAGGACTTGACCCGGTGGTTCAGTTTCTGGTAAGGAAAGTTAGAAGGATATACAACATATCCAGGATACAAAATTGGTTCAAAGAGGTTTTCATATTTTTAGTTTTAACTGGTGATCTATGTTCTGTTATATTTTCTGAGAAAAGAAATAAAACTCTTTTTCCAAATAGTTCTGAAAACTCTTTGACCTGTGTTTGGTAATCCATGTACATATTGACTGTGATTTTTATTTCAAGTTTGGCCAGATCAGTTTTAAAAATTCCATTTTATGGACTTTCTTATTCAAGGGGCAGGAGACAAAAAGAGATGATAATAAAGAGGATATTATAAAGTAGTATTGGTCGATTTTAAGTTATTTTTGTAAAACATAACCTGTCAAATATGTATTTTAACAAAATGACACCAACGTCTTTCAGAAGAGGAAAACTTCAATCAACACATTATTTCAGTTTAAAAAAAATTAGGATAAGGTCGCCCATAAAACAGGCAATTTAATTTAGTCTGTCCTTACAGTGAATAATTATGTAATCAGTCACCTGTGAATTGAATCCAAATAAGAGGGGCATGAGTAGACATTATTACAATATAGTTTAGAAACAGTATCTGTTGACAATATGAACAAACTGTATATATATAGTTTCAAGGTGAAGAAATAATGTTCATAGGATGACTCATGAATCTTATTTATGTAAAATATATGTTTGTAACCAAAACCTATTTTCATAAATAAACAATCTCTTTCATATTTGATTTGGTTTGGTCTTGTGTGTGGTAATTACTTCTCACTGTTTATGATGCATGCTTTTGTCCTTTCAAGACCTCATGTTGAGTGATGTTGCCCTCTCGGAGGAGGTTCAGCTCAGCTTCATCGCTTTACTTTTACATAAATTTTCTTCATTTCTGAGTACATTTTCCCCAGAGATTGGTGAGTTGACATGTGCAGCAGCTGATTACATTGACAAATAATGCAGATGAATAATGAAGACAGGATTTTGTTTTTTTTCTGTGTTTCAATGTTAGTGTCACACTGTGACACTAACATTGAAACACAGAAAAAAAACAGTCACAGATTGTGGTTTTCATAAACAACTCTGAAGTCATACATGTTACTGCATATATCACGATTCAAACTTCAGCCACAAGAAATTGTACACAGCTCCTAAATCCAGCATGATCCCCCCAAAAAAGACATGAGGATCCACCACAGTTCCTTACATTGAGGCAAAAATAACGTTACTCATCATTAAAGGTTCATAACCAGATTTTAGGTGTGGGATGTAACTCATTTACTGCACACATGAACACTTGCTGAGCCATGACATTGCAAACATTACATCAGGTCATCATCTCCATGATGAAGACTAACATGAAAAGTGCCAAAGGTCAAGGTCGTGATAACTCAATATCTTGTGCGTTCATCATTTGTGTCAATGTCTGTCGGGCTATTGAACGACATGAGATTATAGGGATCACACAGTTAGCTCACTAGGCCCGTAGTGCATCTACAAGCTGTAGCGGTGTCTAGCTGGGAGCGCCACATTTCAGAAATGGCTATTGCCGGTAGGGCCACATTTCCAGCTGAGTGCATTTCACCTATTCTAGCGGGTAATTAATTAATCCGATTACCGATACCTTTAAATGAGTGTCCCACATTTAAATTACTAAGCGTGGTGTTCTTTAGAGATACCTTTAAATGAGTATCTCACATTTAAATTACGAAGCGTGGTGTTCTTTAGAGATACCTTTAAATGAGTATCTCACATTTAAATTACGAAACGTGGTGTTCTTTAGAGATACCTTTAAATGAGTATCTCACATTTAAATTACGAAGCGTGGTGTTCTTTAGAGATACCTTTAAATGAGTATCTCACATTTAAATTACTAAGAGATCAAAGGCCGTCTTAATTGACATTGAGTTCATCCTGTTATTCATAACATATTTAAGTGATGTCGTGTTCATGTAATCCAAAACAGGAAAAAGGGCACAGCCCCAGGATTAGACCTAACTTCTTACCAAATAATTAAAAAACTCCCCCTAAAACTACTCCAGGCACTACTCAAACTATACAATCTCATCTACCTAAACGGACAGGTTCCTACTCCCTGGAAACAGGCCCTAGTCATACCAATCCCTAAACCTAATAAACCAGCTAATCAAGCTAACTCATATAGACCAATATCCCTAACTTCAAACTTATGTAAAGTAATGGAATCAATGGCTAAAAATAGATTACAACATTACTTAACCCAAAATAACATCATAAACCCAGATCAAAGCAGTTTCACTCCTGGCCGCTCAACCCTAGATAAGCTCGCCCGACTAGAACAAGATATTAAGACAGGACAACTAAATAAACAATATACCACAGGCATCTTCTTAGACTTCTCTAAAGCTTTCGACATGGTATGGCACGATGGGCTAATACAAAAACTTTAAAAAATATGACTCAAAGGTCAGGTAATAAACAAGACTTGTTTTGTTATATACAGTAACCTGTTAGAATCACAAAGCATGTTTTGACAGCATAGCCGTGAGAGCCACATTATACAATCACGCAACCATAACCATTGCCGGGAGCGCCACATCGATTTGGGCTATCTATTTTCGAAATGTGGCTTTGCCGGCCTGTAACCGCTGTAGCAGAGTCTGGATGCTGCTGGTGTTCCGTAAGTGTTCCATATCAGGCTCTGGCAGATTGGTGGACTTTGACAATGTTGTTGCGTCAGAAAAACTCCTTTGTATGCTTTGTCACCAAAGACGTTGCCATATGAAGTGGTCCTAATCAGCCATTGTAACCAGAGGTCAGGCCAACCTGGGGGTCACATGATGTGCCATACAGTTGGTGCTCTGGGACACATTGAGACCTCTTGCTACAGCCGATTGATTCTCCTTCTTCCAATCTGACAATGTGGTTCCATTAGTGGCATGACTTCAAATTCACAGTTGAATACATGTAGTTGCAAAACCAACAATGTTTTGGCAACCAAGAAGCCCCCTACCCCCAGCTATTATTGTCCTATTCATGAGGTGACAGATGCAGAACATGCACATGCACATTCACTGATCTGTAGTTACTTTTCTGTATTGTTTTAGGGTTGTGCATTTGGTCATTGCATTATTAATTCATTAGCTGGTTTGTGTGTTGCATGATCTCATCTTTCAAGGGTGGGTAGCCCTTAAGCGCTTCAATTCTGTGCATCCCTTAGCCCACCTAGATCCACTGATTTCAGGTTTGAATCCTAGTTTCAGCCTGATTATCATTGACCGCCTCCATGGTCTAGTGGTTGAGTTTCTGCCTGGAGAAGTGCAACAATCTTGAACAATCATTTCACCTCACCTCACCTCACCACCTGATTATCATCATCATACCCAGGTTTCACCAAAGACGTCTTTGGTTTCACCAAAGTGATGTTTTAACATCTACGGCTGACATCACTTTGGATCACTCTGTGACATAACTGAAGACTGTTTGAAGAACAACTCATTTACTCATTCATGAAGAGCTACACCAAATAAAAAATCACAATCAAGTAAAACAGACTTCACACTTTAATCATCTACCAATACAATACTTCATCAGCTCAAACACGTTTCTGTCCTGGACATATACACAAACTATGTACAAAATTAATTTATTTAAGAACTAAATGACACTGGAAAGATATTAACATAAAAAAAATATATCTCTGAATTTTTCCACAAAGAAGATGACCAACCTAATACACTACTGGCCAAATCAAGAGTAATACTATAAGATGTTAACACTAGTATTTCATCACATTGATAGGGTTAGCAAGCAAGTTGATGGTCATTGCTTTGTTCTAAGACTTCAATAAATACACGGTTCCACACTATCACAGACAGGATTCAGGGTATGTACAAAGTAGGTTTATAAAATATTGACTATAAAACAGTGTAAAGTGTAGAAAGACACTAGAATACTGGGGTTAGAGTAATACATTAGGTATAATACATAAAGGCTTTGGTGGAGCATTCAGTCCACTAGGGCAAATACCATGAGCTGCATCAAGTCTAAGATCTACCCTGAACTACTGACTTCAACATCCATGCTGTATGGTCAGTAAACATGCTCGAGCTATGAGTAACTTGTTTAATGAAGTATACTTTTACAGAAAGGCTTGGGTGAACCATCAATTTAAGATTGAACCTCAATGGTACAATGTATGAAACCCATTCTGGGCTGAAATATTGCTAAAAGTGGCATAGCCCCTTACTAACCCTCTACAGAAATGTTAGATTAGAAAAAGGGCAAAATATGAAAAAAATATTCATAAGATGTAAATTTGTTCCCATGAATAACATAACTATTGTGCTCTCTGACAAAATATGTTAAACTTTTAACCATTTGGTTTGTTTTATACAGCATGGGTGATATTTAACCTTCTATTTTACTGTATATGCATTTAATGAATGTATAACTTTCCCCTGTTGCTATATGGCTATATTTAAGTCACTCACTCACTCATAACACGGCCTGAATATGGTCCAACTCAGTATCAAGTACTTGATGCAGCTTGCATAATCTGCTACTCTAGGGGAGACAACTGGTTTGGAAGGATAGGATAATACATTTGGTTTTGTTGGGAAGTAAACTCGTCAGTAAATGTCAAATGTAGTGAGCATATTATTTTTCTTCATCCACAGTCATCACTTGCAGCAGCTGTTGTAAGTAATCATCATATATTTCATTTTCAGTATCTTGAATACTAGTTTGTGTGTTTTTGAAATTGATTTTTATCTGTGCTATTTAATCACCTGGACAGGTGGACAAAACAAAGTTGCCATTCTCAAACCAGCTGAGTAAGGTGATGTCGATTTTGGTTAGATGCTGGTATTGATTTCGTATTATGACAATGAAGACAGCTGTTCATGACATCCTTGACACGCATCAATTTCCTGACATTTGCTGACAAGTACAACAATAAAGCACATTATAGTGAAGGCAAGGACATGGTTGGAGCACACAATGCTGGTTGCAGGTATATGGATTTACAAAATAAACGTATTGTAAAAAAAATATCGCAAACACATGGTTAAATCTGTGTTACCAGGACATACTTCAATATCGCATGTAGATGGTATTGCTCAGAATTACCAGAATCCCTGTGTTCAGAAGCCAGATTCTTTAGTAACATTCAACTTGGTAGTAATTCAAAATCAATTGGATAAAAATAATGTGACATTTTACATTAGACCATTTCTATCTATCCCAACCTACACGTTCCAAGAAGTAATGACTTCAAAATGCCTCCTTTGAGACAGTAAGTTTTTGACTTCAAACAGCCTTCAATCAATCAAGAAAGGCTTTGATTTTCATGATATAACAAATACATAGAAAACAAGAAGACAGTTTGGCACATCATGATGCCTGTGGTTCCACCAGCATCCCCAGGTTGCCCCCGATGTGTGGGATGACAGCATGAGGGTTGAGGTCCCCAGGAAGGTCGACCTTGGCCTGGGTGAGGAAGGTCAGATCATCAGCATCAGCATCCTTGTGGTCTCTGCAACACAAGACATGAGGTGGAAACACGCAACACAAGCACCTGACATACATACATTCTGTCACGTTAAAGTGTTCGGTCTTAGATCAAATTCAGAGCGAGTATAAATCTGTTATACTACCTCTAATTTCAAAACACAGGTATATCTTCTAAACAGACATCTGTGTCTTGACATTTCTTACACATATTTGAGTATGGGTAATCTTTTGGGCATGCTATTCATAATTATAACCATTTACAGTAAACTACCGTTATAACGAACTTGAAGGGACCACCAATTTTAGTTTGTAATAACCATAGTTGGCATGTTTTGCCTATAAACTTGTACTGTAAATGTGTAAGCACTTGATTGATGAAACCCTTTTTATGTCAGTGTTAAATGAATTTATTGATACAACATTTCACTGTAAATGTTCTTGCCTTATAATGATGCCAGGGTTTTACGCAACGGACAAATGTTGAGAATGGATGAAGAAAAAGAAAATACTGCAAGGGATGCATAATAATGTTTATTGTACCTACAGCGCATCAAGAGCAGTTATGGGTGTCATTTCATCCATCAATCATGACCACTGCCTACATGATCACTGATTCATTCCATGCTCTAAAGTACTTATTAAAATGTACAGTACACTATACCATTTCATTACTTTACAGGATTTGTTTGTTTTGCTTGTTTATTTGATGTTTAATGCCGCACTCAGCAATATTCCAGCTATATGACGGCGGTCTGTAAATAATTGAGTCTGAACCAGACAATCCAGTGATTAACATCATGAGCATTGAACCACGCAAAAGGAATAAAATGACACGCATCAACCAAGTCAGACCACCCGATCCTTTTTAGTCACCTTCACTTTACAGGACCCTCATATTGCCTGGAAGGACCCTTCAATTAACTATTGGGGGTCACCTGGGCCCACTTGCACAAAGCGATCTTAGCGCTACGACTATTGTAAGCCTATGTTAAAGCATTGGAGTAACGATAATCTTAGCGCTAAGATCGCTTTGTGCAAGTGGGCCCTGGAGCCCTACTTTTGTAAGTCAAGGTAAAACCCTGTGATGCACCCTTGTATTTAGAGCTGTGGGCATTTCATTTCAGTGTCCACTATCAAAAGGGAATCTCTGCTGTGACTACTGTAGATCCATGGTGTGGGACTTCTGTTCTGCTTAGTCCAGAAAGACCCAGTGCCTTGCCAAAGTCAATATGTGTAAACGAGGAACTGACGGGTCTGAGGGTCCTTGTTTTTGCATCTTGACCTCGTCAACAGAAATCATTCGTTTTGTTAAACCGAAATTCAGTTTAAAGTTTATGAAGCCCTTTAACCCTCCTCTGTTTCATTAGAGTAACCTAGCTGTGAACCATTAAATGTTAGGACCAGATGCCATCTTGTTTTCTTGCAGATGAGTCAATATTTATCATGTTTATGTACACCAAGTCAAAAAGCTCAGTGTCAGTCACATAACTTGGGGTCTACATTGAAATGTATTATTTCGTCACATGGTATATTTTAGCCAATGGAATAGCAAGATTCTTATAGAGGCATAACAACATCAAATACTGACCCATCAGCTTGTGTGAGGCTACTCTGTCTCTCCATATGTTGACCCTTTATTGTTGGCAGGCCCTGCGCTTTGTCAGTTGTGGTTTCTGCACCGTTCATTTTGGCAAAGAGGAAGCGGAGCACTTTTTCCTTCTGTTCCCATGTGAGGTCACTGATATCAACCTTCCCCGTCACATCATACCTGTAACATACATCATACTGACATCAACAGAGCATGTCTTTGTAACTTGACATATTCAGTTCAGGTATGACTATCAAAGGGGTACACAAAGTATGTGATCTAGACTATCTGTTGTCCAACTTCCACTTGTGTTGAAGCCTCAGTGGCTGAGGGGGTTAGGTCGCTGTCTTGCTGTGCTGACGATTACGTGTCTTACTCTGAGATGAGTTCAAATCCTGGATGGGTCCCCATCCAAAAAGTACACAAATTTGAATCTTACTAAGAAAGCATAATCTCAAATATAACATGTTAAATATGAAATTAATTGGTTAATAATACCTTCTGATAATCGTATCTCTGTAACACATTTCTAAACCTTAGTGAATCAAAAGGAAACACCTAGTTTAAAGCTTTATACTTCACCGCAGCCATGAACACAATTGTTACCTGGGAATGTTTTGTGTGATATTTGGCCACATTATCAATAACACAGTTGGGGATTAAATTAGCATTACTGTCTGTTGGACATTTCAATGACTAATGGACTAAAACATAGTGACTCCTGAAAAATACATCCACCACACTGACATGCATCCACTATTACCCTGCATATCACATCTCCATGAGTCCAGGGTAATTATCATTATCATGATAATAGAATGAGGATTCAATGCATAGGATAATCGAGGATGAAATACATGATCAAACAGTCTAACTAAACAGCATGCATATACACACACAAACTTACTTGATTTCCTTCCTTTAATAGCAAGATGCAAATACAAAGTGAATTCATATTGATTAAAACCTGAGAATGTTCTCCCAATAAGAAATCACAAGACTGACATACATAGTTTATCAAGGTCAGAAGGAGACTAACAAGTGAGCAGTGCTTAACATCACAGTAAACATTGTTAAACAGTATTTCATTTATTTCAGTGTCATGTGTGTTTTGAAAGGGCAGACTCAAAACTACACAGACATTTACATTTTTGTACAACAGACAGGTGTCAATTTAGTGATGACAAACCAAGGAATGTAGCTAGGACAAATCTTGGAATCAAACTGACGATCAGCTAATCTAGGAATAGCACCATAGTCCACATGGCCACCTGTGTCCTTCTCATGACAGTAATGTTGTGAATACATTTTTATGAATACACCGTATTAGACGTAATAAGCGCCGAGCTCTAATAAGCGATATTTGCTAATATATTGGCTAGTGAACAATCCCAATTAGCACCCCTTCCGATTGGTCAATGTACAAAAGACTTATTTATTCATGTATAATACGCACTCGTGTGTTATATGAAACCTTAATTATGGGCAATTAAATTCTGGAAAAATATATCTGTCGTATATGAACATTTCAGGCTGTCAGCATAAACCATGAAATTTATTACTCAACTCCAAAATAATATTCTAATCATGCTAATAAGAGCCCCCTTTTTCTAATTTTGAGAGCGCCCTGTGCGCTTATTACGTCGAAAACGGTAGCAGGCTTTGCCTCCAAACTGACATACAATGTGAGACACTTGACTAGGGGCCTGCTCCAAGGTTTTCAATACAGAAGACACTCTGCTTCTTCACTAAAGCTTAACTGTCATAATGTGTGGACAATAAAGATAATTACACTCATGTGTTAATTCACTCCTGTTACTACTAATGTGTCACAATTCTTGTATTTTCCTTGTGAAATACAAAAAGTTGACATTTGTTTCATGAAGTCAGTATGACAAACCCATGCATGTGACATTCTCTCTATATCCAGCTACTCACAATCTCTCTGCTGCCTCCAGGTCCTTGAACACACTGTTGGTGCTGGTGTCCGACTTGGTGAACGTTCGGATCTTGGGGTAGCTGCCTTTGCCTGCATGTGCAAACAGCATCCGGTGCTGATAGGCTGCTTGTGCATCACGCCGGTACTGCGCTCTGGAGACGGGGAAGGTTACATATAATTCTGTAAGATTCACTTGATGTGTTGACGCTCAACATGACTTGTCTACTTTCCTGGAAACCCTTGAAAATGCCTAAATATGATCATGGTGAAAGAGCAATATAATAGCCTATAAACTATGATTGTGTTTGATTTGGAATGGTATTTGATGAATTAAATGCCCTGTTCTATTAAATGCCCAATCTTTTGAAAACAAGTTGTCCAATTAAAATAACACATCATACTTTCCTTCTTGTCTGTCTATTATTTTATATAATGTATATTAATTACTTGGAAACTTAACACTGTCAGAACAAAGTTGAAAAAGCAGTATTGTATTAATCTTTATCATCCAAAACTGGCTCCCACAGGAGATATCGTTTGGGTGAGATCAAGCGATATCTACACTGTAGATATCGCTGCAATGAAATTGCATCACAACGCTTTGCAGACCATTGTGACGTTATTGGTTACGAGTGTTGATATATTTGATATCAAAAGACACTTGAGTGAGAATCTCTATATACATTTTCATATGTCCTTGGAACTTAACATGTTAAAAACAGTAAATCTAAATAGAATTCTTTTGGATTTTTTCATGTTCAAATAAAGTTTACATAAGTACCGCCAATGTACATGCACAATTTGTTTATTGATTATATAATACTTGAATTTATTTTATTATGTTTTATGTTGATCCAAACGTAGCTTAAAAACAGAATGAATTATCTTCCAATGTCAATATGTGTTTGTATACATGCAATTACATATATTACTTTTCAAACCAAACAATCAAAACCTAGAATTAGGAATATAACACAATGACTTTCTGTAATGATGATATTATTTCCTTATCATAGAGTGCACATTCTGCAAAAAGGGTGAGCGTGTAGACTGTGTGTAGAAACCTGTATAACATACTCCATACAATACACTGCTGTGTCTCAACAACTGTGGACAGTTCCAGTTCTAGGTGACTTCACAGTAAGGAAAGAGAGTGTTCACGTGCACAATACCCAAACACATTACAAGACAAATCACAAAATAGTGCTAAGATATATACTCAGTCTGATGCATTGAAGTGTTTTGGGTTCTGAAACATCCCCAGTGCTAGTTTTCAATTTTCATGCTCAGTCTAACTAATAAAAACACCTACATATCACAGGTTATCAATGAGTGATATCATTGTTATAAGCTGAAGTCGGCAATATTCAGTCATAAAATGACTGCCGGTCAATAATTGTGTAAGAGCAAGGCAAACTAGTGGTTGATAGTATAAGCAACAATCCATGGCGTAATGGTACATTGACATAGAATCAGCAGTCAAACATCATGACAACACTATGCTTATTTTAGCTGCGTTTAACAGCAAGATTGTGGCACTCGGGACCTATTCTGACCTGGAATCCCCACATGGAGAACAATATAAATGATTTCTGGTTTTATTATTTGCAGACATGATGCAGAGTGATGAGACAAGATTCAGATGCCCCGTGAGAGTATTGACCTCTTACCTGATCCCAGCTAGCAATGCATATAGAATAAGTCATGTATTGATTTATAATATTCCAAATTTTAACATAAACATGATAAACATGGTAACTGAGATATATAATCGTCAAATTATATATACACAACCCATTCACAATCTAATGAATGAATTTGACGATTTGAAACCAAACCAATTATATTCACTCAGGCCATTAATGAACCAGAGCACTGCCTATACAAAGACTTGACCAACAAGGAAGGGACAGAGTTATTCTCATAAACAAATAAGAATACATTCATGAGGAGGGATAAAGCATGAAACATAGGAAATTTCAAATTTTACCTGCAAATCATCCCATGTATATATTGTAGGCTAACCACCCATGAAATATTGAAACAAATCCTACCAATAACGTTGTCAAGTTACTGAGCAGTGTTTGAAGGCCAAGATCACAAAGGGTAGAAGATTGGGTTTGTAAATGTATTTGAAATAACTTTTGTCATGGCCAAGGCAACATCATGACAAATCAGGGGTGCCTTTTTTATTTCGGTCTCATTGGCAATCAAAATGGTCTCATAAAGCCAGGATGTTGTTTGACGATTTGACAACAAAATTCCAAATTAGAAGAAATTTCATTAAAATGACCATGCAATTTTACCAGTGGAAAATAATCACGCATTTAATGGTTGATTCCTCAGCTGAAAACTGAAACACAAATCATTAATGAATTGGATGATTTGGAACAGTGCTAGCTGCAGTTAATTCTTCGATTTTATAACTAGATCTAACATGTAGTCGCACTCACTGGTTAGCTGCGATCTCTCCTTTCACTTGCTCCAAGGCTTGCAGGAAGAATCGCTCCAGCTCTGTCCGCTGGTCCAGAATGTTTTTAGCCAGCTTCTTGACTTTGTTCATCTCCCTTGTCTTCATCTCAATGACTCTCTGGAGTTTGACAAGCTCAACCTTGGCAGCCTCAGTCTCAGTCTCAGCTGTCTCAACCAGAGATTGTTTCTCTCTCTCAAACTCTCGAACAACATGACTCAGAGACTGTTCAAGCGTTTCCTGTTTCTCAGTTAACTGAAAGAGAAATAAAAAAATTTTGTTTGATACATTCTACACCAGCTCTGTATTCGATGGAAAAATGCATCACACAAAAATGATTAGAATAACATAAAACTTATTTTGTGTTCATTCCCATAGGGGAATTCAAATAAATACATAACTATACATAGTCTCAAGCTTTCACCATCCCGGCCTTCATCAGGCAACCCATGTTGGTTTAGCATTATATGATTCAAGCTGCTTTCATTGCTGCAACTGAATTTAGCTAACTGTGATGTTATAGCCATTGTCCATCATGACGTCATGACAAGTATGAAATCATGGCAACTTCTGTCTCCACACAAGCAGTTCTTCACTAGCTGGGGGAAGGGACATCTTTAGATATTTATCACCCATAAGCATGGGTACCATTCTGACAAAATCAAGGATCATAATTAGGGCAATTCTGGGATTCATACTCATGAGCAAATCCTGGCACAGCTAAGGGATGCAACTCTATACAGTGAATTGCAGCACCTGAGATCACATAAAGGACATAAGGGCAGCATGGCACACCTGTTTGATCTCCTCCTTCTGCTGTTTTGCCTGCACCACCTTGTTCTGGACCATCAGCTCATTGACCTCCTTCTCTCCCTGGAGCCGCTCACTCAGCTCTAGGAGTCGCTCACGCTCCTTCTTCAACATGTCCCCCTCCTTCATGTGGTAGTTCAGGGCCTCTGTCAGTCTCACATTCTCCTTGTACACAGACTTGGTTGTCTCATCCAGGTTACTGCAGCAAGGAAGTACAAAAAACTACAGTAAACTACGTTCATAACGAACACGCTTATACCAAACTGATGGATATAATGAACTGTTTTGGGGTCCCGTCCATTTCCTGTATATCGTCTGTATATGAGCCTATAACGAACTACGGTTATAACAAACTAAAATTAATGGTCCCTTTTAGTTCGTTATAACCACAGTTTACTGTATTTGCCAAATTTGAAAATCAAATGTGATTTACAGAACCAAAATAAGAGACCGAAATAACTTGGTAGAGTCCACCAGCTTAACTATTACTAATTTGACACATATAAACGTATCTAGTTGGATTGACATTATTCTAAAAACCAACTTCAAGGCTATAACATTTACATGAGCTTCAGATCAAAACAGTCTGTGACCTACACTGTGGCAGATGACAAATTTGACTTTAAGTACTCTAGACATACTTTCACCACAGTCTCATGGATGAGTATGGTGTATAAACATTATTCAATGCAGTGATTATTATGAATAATCTTATGAACATGTTTACAAGAAAGAAAGATGAGAAAATGTTAATGTCTGTCTGGGAAAAAGGGCAGGATCAAGAATGTTCTAAAACTGTGAACGAAAAGTTAAAATCAATGCACTGAATGAAAATCCTTGGCTATACCACTATGCTTGGTGTCTTTGTTGTAACCTTCGTTACAGAAACAGACCAACAGTGCATTTTGACATAAAACACAACAATGGAAGGTTGTTATAGAGGTTTGTGAGTGAGTACACCATAATGCCGCCATCAGCAATATTACAGCTACATGGCGGCGGCCTGGTAGATACCTGCATTGAACTAATTAGCTTTAGTTCTGTAGGAAAGAACTCTTATGGTAGTTAACTTTCGTTAAGGCAGATAACCTGGCGATTAGGTGTCCCACTCTGGCAGTGTGGGTTCGAATCCCGGATAGGACTCAACTCAAAAAAGTACTAGAATCTGTACTTTACTAAGAAAGTGTTATCCCAAATATAACATTTGTTAAACCTTGATATACTTCTAAAAAGATTGCATTGCCTAGATTCTACCCCAACTTACGAAATCGCCTCTGTGTGAGCCTTCTCAGCCAGTTCAGCTATTTTCTGGTTAGCTTCTTGTTGCAAGCGCATCTGAAACAACCATAGCCAATGTTCAGTACATACATGATAAAACATCACCATGGTCTCTCACTGTTAACAGTGACACTGTGACATACATTTTCTCTATCTTAATTTGTTACTTCCTGTCGAAACTCCCAACCAAATAAATATATCTAACCTTTTCCTCAAAGAATTTCTGTTCCATCCTGGCAAGAGTAGCCTTATGTTCCCTGTTGGCGCTGTGCATGGCTTCCTTGATCTGGAAACGAAAGGTCAACATTTAAATTTATCCTACATTTATCACCACTACCATCACCACTGAGGAGGAGTCATGTGTATACTCCATCACCACTACCATCACCACTGAGGAGGAGTCATGTGTATACTCCATCACCACTACCATCACCACTGAGGAGGAGTCATGTGTATACTCCATCACCACTACCATCACCACTGAGGAGGAGTCATGTGTATACTCCATCACCACTACCATCACCGCTGAGGAGGAGTCATGTGTATACTCCATCACCACTACCATCACCACTGAGGAGGAGTCATGTGTATACTCCATCACCACTGAGGAGGAGTCATGTGTATACTCCATCACCACTACCATCACCGCTGAGGAGGAGTCATGTGTATACTCCATCACCACTACCATCACCACTGAGGAGGAGTCATGTGTATACTCCATCACTACTACCATCACCACTAAGGAGGAGTCATGTGTATACTCCATCACCACTACCATCACCACTGAGGAGTCATGTGTATACTCCATCACCACTACCATCGCCACTGAGGAGGAGTCATGTGTATACTCCATCACCACTACCATCACCGCTGAGGAGGAGTCATGTGTATACTCCATCACCACTACCATCACCACTGAGGAGGAGTCATGTGTATACTCCATCACCATTACCATCACCACTGAGGAGGAGTCATGTGTATACTCCATCACCACTACCATCACCGCTGAGGAGTCATGTGTATACTCCATCACCACTACCATCACCACTGAGGAGGAGTCATGTGTATACTCCATCACCACTACCATCGCCAGTGAGGAGGATTCTGGGAGACTAGTCAAATAAACATTAACTGTAAAATGCTATGGATGTCAACTTGGATGTATAACTTTTTTAACTTTATCTATGTAGATATTTTTTTTAAATAACTATAACACTAAGCTTTAGTTGAAGGAAAGATGTGTGTGGAATCCTCGAATCCTAGGATTATCATGGATTATTGTGGGAGGAAAGTCAGAAGAATTAAACGTTTACCCCTTTGGTGAAAACTCATGAGCACACATATAGTACTGACAATCAACAATGTTGACCTGGGCCCACTTGCACAAAGCGATGTTAGCGTTAAGATAATCGTAACTCACATACTTAAACATAGGCTTACGATTGTCTTAGCACTAAGATCACTTTGTTCAAGTGGGTGATAGACATGTTATTAGAGCACACTGATGCAGAAACTTTCAAGATGTGAATTTAGAAAATGTCATAACAGCAGACATCCTAAATATTCTGTAACACAAGCTCTAACGGCACCGGAGTCAGATACACTTGTGCCATCCTCGATTATCCAGTGTATCAGACAATTGATCCATTCACCACCACAGCTCGGTCTGAATCTGGGTCAGTTGAAATGAAGGCGAACATAGATGACCAATAGGCATGGTTGTTGTATCCCCCGACATACCTCATCCAACTCCTTCTGCATCTGACCACGGCGCCGGCGGAACTCCTTGACCATCTTGAGTTCCGACTGCATGAGTTCCACCTCACGCATCTTCTCACCCAACTTCTCCTCCAACTCATTTATCTGCTTGCTGAAGTCCTCCACAATCACCTCCTTCTCCTTACGGTGCTCCTTCTTCATGTCTCGCATCTGCTGCTGCAGACGTTCCAGCTGAAATTTATACATGTACATTTCACTATAGATGATATACTCATAACACAACTGAACTATTTACATTGTGATATAGATGGTATAAACATGTACATTGTATTATCCACGACATACACATACACTACAATATAGACATCATACACAAGAGCAATGTAATATAGACAACATATTGATGACAGAGCTCAAATATACACATGTACAATGTGATACAGGCACACTAATGTACATTGTGATACAGACAACATACTGATGAAAGAGCTCAAATATACACATGTACATTGCGATACAGACAAACAAATGTACATTGTGATACAGACAACATACTGATGACAGAGCTCAAATATACACATGTACATTGCGATACAGACACACAAATGTACATTGTGATACAGACAACATACTGATGAAAGAGCTCAAATATACACATGTACAATGTGATACAGGCACACAAACGTACATTGTGATACAGACAACATACTGATGAAAGAGCTCAAATATACACATGTACATTGCGATACAGGCACACAAATGTACATTGTGATACAGACAACATATTGATGAAAGAGCTCAAATATACACATGTAAATTGTGATACAGGCACACAAATGTACACTGTGATACAGACAACATACTGATGAAAGAGCTCAAATATACAGATGTCCATTGCGAGACAGGCACACAAATGTACATTGTGATACAGACAACATACTGATGAAAGAGCTCAAATATACACATGTACATTGTGATACAGGCACACAAATGTATATTGTGATACAGACAACATACTGATGAAAGAGCTCAAATATACACATGTACATTGCGATACAGGCACACAAATGTACATTGTGATATAAACAATGTACTGATGAAAGAGCTCAAATATACACATGTACATTGCGATACAGGCACACAAATGTACATTGCGATATAAACAATGTACTGATGACAGAGCTCAAATATACACATGTACAATGTGATACAGGCACACAAATGTACATTGTGATACAGCAACATACTGATGACAGAGCTCAAATATACAGATGCCCATTGCGAGACAGACACACAAATGTACACTGTGATACAGAAAACATATTGATGACAGAGCTCAAATAGACGCATGTACAATGCGATACAGGCACACAAATGTACATTGTGATACAGACAACATACTGATGAAAGAGTTCAAATATACACATGTACATTGCGATACAGGCACACAAATGTACATTGTGATACAGACAACATACTGATGAAAGAGCTCAAATATACACATGTACAATGTGATACAGGCACACAAATGTACACTGTGATACAGACAACATACTGATGAAAGAGCTCAAATATACACATCTACATTGCGATACAGGCACACAAATGTACATTGTGATACAGACAACATACTGATGACAGAGCTCAAATATACACATGTACAATGTGATACAGGCACACAAATGTACATTGTGATACAGACAACATACTGATGACAGAGCTCAAATATACACATCTACATTGCGATACAGGCACACAAATGTACATTGTGATACAGACAACATACTGATGACAGAGCTCAAATATACAGATGTCCATTGCGAGACAGGCACACAAATGTACATGAAAAACATTCTTCCATATCATCACCAAATCATCAGCCTCATCACAAGACTGAAATAACCATTGCAATAGGGCTGGGACAGCTAACTCGTGTACTCAGGTCAGGTGGGTACTGAGTAGGACCCGTGGTTCGTCAGGTGATATATTGTTTAATGAGAAAACATGGTTGCCTACAAGTCGCGAATGTTCGCATATCTTTCTTACGATATGTGCATTTCTTCTGACTTTTATATGTTTTGATTTGTTTTGTTTGTTGTTGTTGTTTAATGACGTACTCAGCAACATTACAGCTATATGACGGCAGTCTGTATATAAATTCAAGTCTGGGCCAGACAATCCAGTGATTAACATTATGAGCATCGATCTACGCAATTGGGATACGATGACATGCAACAACCATGTCAGCGAGCCTGTCCACCTGATCCCATTAGTCGCCTCTTATGACAAGCATAGTCGCCTTTTACGACAAGCATGGGTTGCTGAAGACCTATTCTACCCGGGATCTTCACGGGCAGGGATAATTCTAGGGTGGGGCCTTGTGCTTTTAGCCCCTAAATTTGAAAAAAGGCCTACATTTTTACATACAATGGGGCATTTCTACATTGTGCTGTGTGGGCAACTGTGGGCGTACCACTGGAATAGTCAAAGCTTTTACATAAAGGGCCCATGTCAGAAATTCCTAGAGTGAACCCTGCAGGGATCATATGTTTTGAGTTAAGATCACCTTTAGTCAAGGTCAGTGTATAAATGACCAAATCGTTTTATATGTATATCTAAATACTTTTGCCAAGGGTCCAGTAAAACAATTCCTAATCGGACATTTTGTACCCAACTCTTGAGCTCTCCTGCGGGTATCTGGGTAGTAAATTTGAACTCGTCCCACCTCTACATTGCAATATAGGGCCATACTCATACAATTTCACAGACAATGGAAATGTGCAGGTGTTTTGCTAAATTGTACCTGTGTATCCTTGTCCTGGTCCTGTTTCTTGAGGTAGGTGATGACATCGATGGTGTCCTGCTCTGTCTGTAACATCTGAGTCTGCAGAGCATCATTCTCCAACATCAAGTGTTTGGCATTGTCCCTACAAAACATAACCATGTTCAAAATATTGTCATGATCACGCACATCACATACGTGCATACACAAATCCTGCAGTTAATCACAAGATATGTAGGTGTGACTTCACTATTTTAATGTTTGGGAATTGTGTGAGTCTGTGTAACATGGTAAGTTGGGTGTAAACCTTCAACAGAATTTAAAAAATCTGTAAAGAAATATAGACATGCAAACTGAAAAACCTACTTTGGGAACTTACGCACCATTTTTTTGTACATTTTGAATGCATAGTTATACACAAGCAACACACATTTAATTTGTTAATGGCAGTATATGTTTTGTTTTTTATGCAAATATGCAGCTTATCTAGAGCACTATTGCACTTCTGCTCAGAGAATGTAAGACGGCTCTGATACCCATAACCCTGCCTGTGCAACATTTTTGTCCAATAGCAATAAAAAAATGTCCAATAACAATAGACCACCTCCGTTGCCGAGTGGTAGGGCATCCACCTGGAGAGTGGAAGGTCGTGGGTTCAATATCTGGCCGCGTCCTACCAAAAGATGTTAAAAGATGGTACTAGTGTTACCCTGTTTGGTGCTTGGCATTTAGGTGAGTGAGTGAGTTTGGTTTAACACGGCTTTTAACAGTATTTCACACACACAGACACACAGACACACAGACAGACAGACACAGACACACACAGACAGACAGACAGACAGACAGACAGACACACAGACACACAGACACACATGTGCATGCATGTCGCACAAACTTACTACCTGGGTACCCACTGTAGATCTCAAGAGTTTGGAACAAAATGTCTGATTTGGAATTGTTTTACCGCAGCCCTGGCTAAAACTATTTATAGACATGTATCAAATGATCAGGGCCTAGATTTTCGAAACGATCTTAGCTAAGATAAATCTTAACTACTTACGTTCAAAGATAAGATATCTTAAGGTTAAGATAAGATAGATTTTCGAAAATATCGTAAACCTGTCGCAGATCGTTCAGAGTTACGATACCTATCGTAACTCTGACAGAGAACTCATTTGTGTTAGAGATTGAAAAAGCGGGGTGTTTCCCAATGACGTCACGGGGATTTCCCAGCTGCTGACAATAACAACAACATATATAAGTGACAGGGAATTCATAATCACATTGTCAGGTCACATTGTTAAACATGCACATATTTGAGTGAAATTCTGTACAATCCTACATGTAGACGTTTTTTTCTTATGATAAATGATGCCATGACTACCCGAACACAAATATCATTCGTGTGCCATGCAATAGCATTTTTCAAAACCGATAAATGTTATAATCAATAAGTGTAGTGTAACCACACTTTAGCTATTAGAATTGAAATGTGAACTGTATGATATAAACACATCGCGTACAAAGTCAAGGACGAAAGTAAGGGACGTTATTCTAAATGACAATGACGAGACCTTTGATCAAACTGCATATGCGTTCAGCATTTAACATGCGTGTTCAAGTCTGATGTTAAGTGATGTATACTGTATATTTTTGTGTTTATGTCAAAAGTCAAGTTTATATTAGTGTAAACATCAACATTATACGTTGAAACACTCAAAACAAAAATTGTTCAGGAAGCAGGGCACCCACAAGCAAGTTTTTATAACAATCTAAGCTTGTTAAGTTTGTTTTGTTACTTATGTATCCAATATATTTCACGAATTAACCAAGGACTTAAATACGATATCAGGCTATTAGTATTTAGATGATGAAATTATTTTTGTATCTATCTCGATCCATAATTATTTTCAAAATTTAAAAGTGACACTAATTTTCGTTCGCAATGAGAGATAATTTAGGAATTGTCAAGTTATGTTGTCTCATGGAACACGCCACAAGTTAACGTGAAAATACATATAATGTGGTCATTTTCTATCCTTTTAAATTAAGTAGAGCTTATAAACTGATTTGTCTGATTTAAATCTGGCTGAGGAGCAAAATACTTTGTAATTTTAAAACCGGTTTATTGAATGCATAGATTATTGTGTTGAAAATGGGTATTTTATATTGATCAGTAAATTTCATTCAATAAACTTTTTTTATGCGAACATATATTGGAAAGTGAATTTTGGACAATGTGCAAACTGCTACATGTTGATGAGAACCAGAACGAGCATGGGAACCCATTTTTTATTTTATTTGTCGATATGAAAATCTGTGCTTAACTTTTGCTGTCAAAATTTGTTCAACAGACAGTTTTTAATCACTTTTTATCAAATATTTGTCTTTCAAGAGGATATAGATAACATAGGTATTGAATTTAAAACGAAATAAATTACAATTACTTTTGCAAGAAAAATATTAGATATTGTATACAGATATTTGATCCCATGTATTTCCTTGTTAAGTCAATAAAATGCGAAAATAAAAACTAAAGCATTGACACAAATGCGATCCAGAAAAGATAACAGCGGAACTCTGCGCTTTATGAAAACTGTAACATTGAGCAAGGTGTCCCAGGCGAATACAAAGGGAAACCACTCTCAACTAGAGTTTGAACTAAGATTAGCTCCCCCTGAGTTATCAATGAGGTCACGGTCATTACTGGAGCCTGCCGACACCTTCCGTTTTTATCCTTCCCAAATTATCGAAAAGGTATGTTGTTTCACACTTCAGCATTGACTCGGATAGAAATATATTGTAAGCTATCGACTCCACAGTTATGTGGATCGCTGTCGCGATTAAGAACATTTTTGACGTGAAATCCTTGATGCTTTCTTCGTTTTTTCGAAGTGTCAATTTGAATCACTCAGTTTTACAAAATGAAATGTCCATGTTTGAACGTAAAGCAGACATATTGTTTGGCAAAATATCTATGGAAAAGTATGCCGCCATCTTGGATGAAGATAAAATAAACTTACGACAGGTATGGGGCTATCTTGGATTTACGACAATCTTAAGATATCTTAGGGCTACGATAGTTTCGAAAATATGCTACGATAGCCTACAATTTCCTTACGATAAATTTACGATAATTTTAGGGCTACGATCGTTTCGAAAATCTAGGCCCAGGTGATGCGTACACTGATGTTGACGTTAGCTGTATCTTTACTCAAAAATTTACAAGTCAATAGGAATGGGTGCATCGTTTGATAGAAATGCGAACATTAGTAACTTGTAGTGTAACCACTGAGCTGTAGAGAGTTTTTTTTGGTAAACAATATATCACATAACTAACCATGGGTCCGGGTAGTACTGTGGGTACCTGGGTCCTAATCAGGGCCCACCGGACCCAAGTACCCAAGTTACCCATCCCAGCCCTAGTTAAACCCCATTTCACCTCACCTCACCTCCAATAGCAATAAATTATTCATAAGGTCAGATCAATCAACTTCTATCAGATAAGCCTACATGTGTTCGATAGGTTGGTATTATCAAACAATACAGCATATCTGAGTGTCATTTCAGTCCAGTGTATCTGAAGGACACATGACTTACCGGAATTCCTGCTTAGACCTTTCAGCCACATCCAACCTTGATTCCCATACTCTTGAGTTTGCAGCTGCAATTGCAACAACTGATTCATTCTTCTTTGTTTTCTTTGATCCCTTCTTCCTGCAATAGAAATACACAGCTGTCAGGAAAATATTACAAACTGATCTTCAGGTTGGTTTATTGAAAGTGTTTCAGTCAGGCTCGCTGACTTAGTTGATGCATCGTATCCCAACTGTGTCTATTGATGCTCATGATGTCAATCACTGGATTGTCTGGTCCAGACTCAATTATGGACAGACTGCCATTATATAGCTGGAATATTGCTGAGTGTGGCTTTAAACAAAACAAACAAAAATACTTATTTGTTTTAAGCTCCCCTTTAGAAAAAAAACACATGATCACGACTGTCGTCTTAGAAAACCATCAATGTCGCATGATGTCAACAATCTTCAGTCAACAGTCAACAATCGTTTCTAGTGTGATATTATTCCGACCTTTATGTCACAATAACATTCGAAACATCAACGTCTGGATGACGTGAATTATACACTGGTTCGCATAAAGTGATATTTGCACTAGTGCATATACAATATTTATGAACTTTATGGGTAATAAATATATATAATCCACAGGTATCCAAAATACTCTGCAAGAGTACCAACCTCCTTAGACACATCTACACACCTACCATATTCCTGTCATTGCATAAACAGTTGTGTCAGTAGACATAAATTCTAAATTGGAAAATGATGAGTCTGCATTTAACTTTTGCGATGTCTTTTTTTTAACAATTTAGGTACAGGCATATACTTTTGGTCCATCTATACATTTGTCCTACGACATGAGTATAATTTATGGCGTGTAGGTTTATAGGCCTACAGTCAAATAAAATATGCATATTTATGGGCCTAAACAGCTGCTTAGTGGTATTTTCATTCAACCAAAAGTTTTAATCTGACTAAACCTGTTTTCAGGTTAATAATTAAAAGGATACAAAACATGTACTACATCACGGTGGACGGACTTTAATATTAAAAAATAGGCCTAATTCTGAAAAATATTAGCCTTATATCGCTACTAAATATGGCGCCTAATTATTTTCTGAGTAAATAGGCCTAGAAGTTTATAAACATTGAAGATTCATATCATAATCAGTTCAGAAACATAAATTGATTTACCCCTTCTTTCCCTTTCCTTTGCCCTTTTTAGACTTTTTAGGCATGTTGGCTTGTTACGTGTTGGTCTTTCCTACAACAGGTTGAGCTACTTGTCAAACATCAGTCGGATCGAAGCAACCAGTACAGTGAGTGGAGCCAAGATGGCGGCTGATTGTTTACACTGTCATGGAAACAATGCTATCGCACAAACGAGATTTATTAAAACAGCCCTGGTAAACAGTATTTATATTTCCGATTTTATTTTAATGATAACTATGATCATAAATGTAGCTCTGAATATGAAAACTTAAGTATATAAAAGATAAAATCATTTAAAATGTGAAGGTTGTTTATGTTTTGGGTCAAGGTCATTTATATTTATCGGGAAGCGTGATGTGTCGAAAGAAGATTCGTCTCCGCCACTTTCTACATCAAGTAAGAAACTCTTTGTTAACTGAATATGTTAAAACGTCCCACCGCTTCTATCGGCAGTTGTTCATTTGGTGTGATTAAGCTGTTAATTAATTATCTAAGACGAAAGACATTCACGGTTCAAATAATCGGTGCACGCGGAAAAAAGTTTCTTTTTGACATTCTCTTGAGTGGTACGTATGCACATCCATGGTATGTAGTAAAGTGAGGAAGCAATGCATGGTCATAAACGGGAATCCTTTCACGAAATCTTAGCTTAATGTTTTTGACATGAACTTATATACATGTTTATTGTATGGTTTTATACCGTATTCGACGTAATAAGCGCCCTGCTCTAATTAGCGCCAACGGCGATATTTGCTAATATTTGGGCTAGTGAACAATCCCAATAAACACCCTTTCCTATTGATCAATGTACACAAGACAAGTGTGTAATACGCACTTGTGTGTCATATGTACCCTTAATTATGGGCAATTAAATACTTGAAATATATATCTGTCGTATATAAACATTTCAGGCTGTCAGCATAAACCACGAAATTTACGATCTTTCAACTCTGTTTTGTTTCACCAAAATAATATTCTAATTAGAGTCCCCTATTTCTAATTTTTAGAGTTCCCTGGGAGCTTATTACATCGAATATGGTATTCATAATTGGGTTTTTTAGCTATAAGCAAGTCATCTAGTTTCATTGCTATAATTAGGGGAATGCTGAACTTTACCTTGTGCATCTTAGGGTTGGGTAGCTGTTGCCCATCAAACATCTCTTTATGTTTCTATAGGCGCCCCTTGCCAATCAAACACCTCTTATTATTCATAGAGTTGGATATACCCCTTGCCAATCAAACACCACCTTTCAATTCACATGGTTAGTTGTGAGTTAGGAAATGGGTTAGTTATCTCCTTTATTGAATTATTCCAGTGCAACTTTATGAGAATCTGTAGTTTTCAAACTTTGGGCGCAGATCAGTAGGTAAACGAGCACTTATTTCTTGTGATAGCTCCCTTGGTTACTTGATGGCTATTTAGACTAACTTATTTGCCTAGCTTAGCTTCAACAATGTTCGAATTGGCAACGAGACAAGTTCAATCCTCAACATAGCACTAATTAAAATCTGAAGAATTGCGTCAGGCTAAATACGGTACTCCAGGGATCAATGGGCTAAAGATATTAGTTGGAGTTAACCTATCCTCAAACAAACACTCCTAAGGAAGATGCATATGAGGTCAGCAAATTAGCGCTATATGAGGAAAACTAAATTGCAGTCTTCTTGAAAGAAGCTATCCGACTCAACAATAGAAAAAAAGACGGTTGTCAATATTAAAATATTTCCACGTTGTGAATGGGCCGTTACAGCCACCAGATGTCATTGTGTACACACACTCATCTAAAGATAACACCAGATGTGTCTTTTATCATTATAGTAGCCAGGTGTCTATAACAAAGTATTGATTGAAATGAATATGAAAAGTAATATACATGATATACACATGAAAAGATTTATCAGTTCTTTTATCCACCACTCCATGCATGGGAGACTCCAAGATGTGGTCTGACAGGCTGGGCTGTGTCAGTTTATATTGGATTCTTATTTCAGGTTTGTTGATCAATCAGTTTATTGTTTGTTGATTAACACCTTACTTATCAATATTCCAGCTATATGGTGTCAATCTGTAAATAGTCAAGTATGGATCAGACAGTCCAGTGATTATTATACTACTGAAAAAGAATAATGGAACTGATGAAATGATAGTGAAGGTGTAATGACGATAAATGCCTGTAAAATTAAGTCGGGCGTGTAGGTCAATATCTGATGTGTCCACCATGTTAGGAGATATATGCTCGGCACCTTGATGGCATCCTGTTGATGAACTTGTGTATGGTTGCCCTTGGTATTGCCCACATTATGACAAAACTGCCCCCATACTGATTATGGTCAAGAATTGTTGCCCTTGGATGCTGCTCAGCGGTGCATCATCAGCAATGTTGTCTGCCACCTGTGAATCAGATGCAAATTGACACACACCCCCATCATACCCACAATTTGCCATTTTGACTGTTCATTGAGATACTGTCTTGGAGGCATTTTTAAGAGTTCCTCTACAGGCACACACACTGTGGTTTCTGTGTGCACGTGCATCACATGCTGTTCATGCATGATGTGAAATTTCATTGTGATTAGATGCTGCATTCAGATGCAATGAGACAGCATTGTAAATGTACACCTTAACGATAGCTAAATTCAAAATCCTTTGTCCCCTTATTTTTGGTTGGTAGTGTATTATTAGCAATGCCACATGCCGGGAACCGGGAAGATCCGGGGTAGAATAGGTCTTCAGCAACCCATGCTTGCCGTAAAAGGCGACTATGTTTGTCGTAAAATGCGACTAACAGGATCGGGTGATCAGGCTCACTGACTTGGTTGATGCATGTCATCGTATCCCAATTACAGGGATCGATGCTCATGATGTCAATCACTGGATTGTCTGGTCCAGGCTTGATTATTTACAGACCACCGTCATATAGCAGGAATATTGCTGAGTGCGGCGTTAAACAACAAGCCAACCAACATGCTATCGGCGTATGATGACCCATGCTCTACCAAGTCACTGAGACAGACCAACTGATCAACTTTAGACACCATCAGGGACAAGTGTAGGATAGGATTAGGTTAAGGATATCATTGGTAAGATTGATGGTTTAAGAATATGAATTTTGTAAATTATATTTATTCTGTGGACATTTACCAATGTTACTGAGTATTACTTTCTTACCATCAATAAAGAGGTGTACATTGTAAAAGTTTGTATCAACCTTAAGCATGTGTGTGATGTAAAGTACATTCATGAACTGCAAATGAAAACAAGTATAGCATGATGAAAATGATAATATGTTATCTATTATTAAGGATTATCATTATTATATGTAATTATGTTATCAGGATTATGTTAAATTTATGCACATGCAAAGTAATGTCTGTAAACCAATTTACATAGATATTTAACATTACAAGTCTGGTGTTTTCTGAACATTTAAATAGGTGGTTTTGTTTTTTGTTGGTTCACAGATCCTCCAACCCAAAATCCTGAGAAAAAGGAGAAAATCTTTTTTCCTATTAAATTTAGATACATATTTTATCATAGCTCCATGTCAGAATGATGAGATCTGATTGGTCCACGAGATCGTGATAAAATTCTGTGTAACCCACCTAGGAGGGTAGTAAATTTCTCAGCAGGTGAATAAATCTCTTATACCCCGCCACAAGCAATACAGGCTGCACATGGATTTCTGAGAGGCAGAATAAATCCTTTATATACCCTGCATCAAAGCAAAAAGCTGCATGCTTTTTTCAACATGTTCAAGTCAATGGAAGTCGCATGACAATTTAGCACAAGCTAACCTCAGCTCACTCGAATTCTATCAGTTTTGGATTTGTGTTAATTCTTATACAGTATCATATTAAACAAGTCAGTAAGATAAATTCATTGTAGCAGGATTACTCGGGGTACATGGGGTTTTATACGTCCCTCGTTTATGCGCTTCGGGCTCGTGGTATTATGCATCCCTCATTAGGTTTTATAACACACGCCTCCGGCTCATGGTATGAAACCCAACACAGGACGCATAAAAACCCCAGCTCATGGTATAAAACCTAATGCGGGACACATAAAACCCCCAGCTCATGGTATAAAACCTAATGCGGGACTCACAAAACCCCATGTACCCTTCACGATCCAGCTACAACTTATAATAACCATCGACCTAAATAATGAAATATATTATACAATTTTCTTCTAGATTCTTGCAGTGCTGTAACAAACTTGTGTTTCTCACACCTCCTTGTATTGTGAGTGAGTATGGTTGTACACTGCTTTTAGCAATATTCCAACTATAACCATAACACATCGGAAAAAAGTAATGTGCATCACAGAGAGAATAAATGTGTTCTATCTGTCTATTTAGTCATAGGTTTAAAGAACATGTGGCATTGTCACAGTTTGAAGGGGCAAAGTCCAAATACAGGTATATCTCAAATCCAAACTGAATTATTTGGAGATGTCATGTCATATCAGATTTTTAAAAAGTTTTATATCCTCCTGCTGAACAGAGTTTTGGGGTAAGATCCGTTAACCAACTATAAAAATTAGTTTATGTCAGAAGTCGTTTATGTTTTTGCGGCCTCCATGGCTCTGTTCGGGACGTTTGTATTCACTGAGTTTGATAAGCAGTGATGAACAGATACCTGGAAACAAGTCCCTTCAATAGCCATTAACATGTTTAATGAGGCATGCTTGAGCAGGCTTTTTTTCTCAGCTCATAACAATAATTTCTCTATAAATTGATATAGACACGACAGAGCATGTAAGACTGAGTCTGTGCATGATTTCTTTAGAAATTACAAAGTGCACCAGTTAAAAAGGAACACTATATACTGTGCATAGAAGTTCAACAACATACCCCTTATATTTATCACAAGGAATCTTTATGGTGATAATAACCCACCATCATGCCCATGGGCCAAACTGTGGGTCATTTGGTAAATGTCTGCCTCCATAACGCTCTCAGCTACATACTGATTTGCTGAGGTTAACAATGTGTGACACTGTTATCGACATTATTGATGTGTGCAAACTGATGTGACAATAGCTTTTACTGCACCTTTTCCACGTAGAGGGATGTTTTGTTGAATGACAGTATGCCTGTGTGATATGCACGCAGGTATCAAAACTTTCATTTAACATCCAGATGTTGGGAATTTACCAGGTATGTCCGCATGATGGTGAGGGAGTATGGTTTTACACCACTTTTAGCAATATTCCTGCAATATCACGGCAGGGGACACTGGAAAATGGGCTTCACACATTGTACCCGTGTGGGGAATCAAACCCGGGTCTTCGGCGTGACAAGCCAACGCTTAAACCACTAGGCTACCCTACCGTCTGTTCGCATGATAAGTAACAGCAGCTTTGAACTAACAGTGACATGCTGTTTGATTTAATGGTCCGTCTTTTTTCCTGTGTGAACACCTTAGCGCCTAATCATGCTTATAATATTTTCTTGGTTGCCAATAGCAACAGTTCAATACCAATACAATTTGTCAAAAATGGCCTCAAACACAAGATGAAAGAACAAAGCTCCACATTCATGTTATGTGAAATGATATCAACTCCAATATCAAGTGTTTGAACACCAAGATTCCATGGAGGTAGAGGACAAAATGTTTTTGTGAGACAGATCCACTGTTTATGTTTGTTACATATACTAGTTTTAGGAATCAGCCTCTTAGTTTGTGATTGTTATTGATTGATTGATCAGCAGTTGGTCGATAATCAATAATTTAATAACAGTGAATGTTGACAAGGTTTCAGAAGTTCATGATCATCATGATCATACAGTCAAACACTGTCATGTTGAACTTTGATGTGTCAAACGTACGGTTGTCTCGAAGTGAAAGCATGGTCCCTGCACATTCCTTCTTTCTTCATCATTTTTGGTTATGTCAAACCTTGGATAACTCAAAGTATTTACATAGGTTCCTTCAGCTTAGACACAACAGTGTTTGTCAGTGAATTGTTGTCGATTTTATGATTATGTGATTGATAATCAAAATTCAGAATACAAACGATCAGTAAACTGATTTTCAAGGATTGAACGATGCACTGTTAACAAATAAAAAATTTGCGCTTCGTTTCTTCGTTTTGAGGCTGGTTTCAATGACATGACACTAAAATCAGATGTCCAATCACATTACACTGATGAGACTAGTCCCCGACTATTGCATACAACCAGCCCATCTTGTACGTAGCATTCGGACTCCAGAAAACATATATTCTAGGTAAAAAACATTTATAACTGAGATAACAGTCTTGTAAATCGCTGAAATACATCAAGACCTTATTCGTATGAAACCAGTTTTGAATGCAAAACTCCTCAGAAGAGGCATTTTTATTTTGTTCAAATGAATGAGCGAGAGGAATTCTCTGTGAAGTTGATGATAACAGTGATGGAGCCAGTCTCATCAAGAACGAAGCTGTAGTGGCAGGTCGAGGATGGTTGATCAAAATGGAATGGAAATACAATATGCTGGATAATGGAGGGTGTGTGCAGTAGGCACTTTTTAAACTGCGTAATCAGTATTGTCTTGTGTGTTTTTTCTTGTGTTGTATAAAAGTGGAAATGTCAACAATGATCCACTGTGGTTATTTTAAGTGCACAGATTGAAATAAAGAAGTCTGCAACCATTCTTGTAGCATGGACAAAACTTCCCCTCTTCTTTTGGAGTGAGTGAGTGAGTGAGTATGGTTTTACGCCGCCTTTAGCAATATTCCAGCAATATCATGGCAGGGGACACCAGAAATGGGCTTTACACATTGTACCCATGTCAGGAATTGACCCCGGGTCTTCGGCATGACGAGCAAACCCTCAAACCAGTGTAGCAGTATGGTAGATCATTGTGTATGGAACAGGTGGAGTCACCATTTGATATCAACCAATCAGTGATCGTGTTAGGAACCGCCAGAAGCCATGGTACTTCGTAAATGAAACCGAATATATTTACTTGCAATAGTCAAATAACAACATCTGTGACATATTTTAAATTAAATTGAGGCATATTAACATGACACATGTGTTCATTATAGGATGCGTTTGAAGGCTCAAACAATAGTCATGAATAGTATTCTTGTCAGGGTTGCTATAATTCAATGGGAAACATGGTAATTAATGGTGTTGGTGCCATCGGTCTTGCTTGACAACGGTATAAGGATCTTTACCGAAACGTTGCCTTTACAGTAATTAAAGAAGTTGTTATCCATAAATTGTATCTACTTTGATTGGATACACTGTCTAACATTTAATACAGAATGTTGTTGTAACAGGACTACTTGGCGTACCACAACCTCAGATATCTTGTTAACATTCTTGAGAGAATTTTGTTGCTTGGAGTAAAAGTCGAAACTCAAACTTTCTTTGTTGATATTATGGACATATTTGTTGAGTAAAAGTGTATTATACACAATAGAGTACAGGTTGTAAAATGTCGCACTAAGTAAAGGGTGCTTATAAAGAATATTTGCAGTATGGCAGCGTTAGAAATTGGCACTAGTCCTGTATTCCTTATCAAACTGCCCAATAGTAAAGGTATCCTAAGGGCTAGTAGAAATTGGCTCATTTTAAGGGTTTTGCTATATGTTATCGTTATAAGGACTAGTGGACAAAAAATGTCGGTTTCTAACCCTGAGTATGGTCTAGACTTACTGGGACACTTCACATGTTTGTAGGTTTTGCGCAATCATTGAGGAAATTGTAAGAATATGGGAAACTCCTGGTGCATGAGTCAGAAACTGGGTACATACATACTCCGGGGTGGCCTGATTAGCCTAGAGATTCAGTGTCCCAAGTGATATGACCCCGATCCTCAGTTGCATCAGACTACAGGGGCTTGCTGTGTGTACATGATGTGCCTGGATCTCGGGAGTGATTTCAATCCTGATATAATGGGTATTGTTCATGTATTTGTTGAATTGTTATGTCAGTATTTGCCATTATCATGATTATGTGATGACAATTTTTGGTATGCATGGAATAAGTCAGCAAATGTTATATTTAATTTTTTGTAATGTTTTTCAATGATATTTTCACTGAAAATGACTTAGTTATGATCATGATCGTAAGGATTACAACAATGTGCATGGGTTACTGAACATGATGGGAGCTGGTGACAATCCTCACAATGGAAAAGAACCCATTAACATGTGTTTGTACAGAGGATGTGATCTTACTAACTTGATTAACGTGAGGACTTCCCTGCCCTATGTTAACACTCAGGCAAACATTTTATTGAGTTTATTTCATTGTATGATTCATCGGTAAGCACCATTACTATATCAAAGGGTCGCTTGGACGAGGCCATTACTTTGAAGGTAGGACCTTGCTTCTTCTAGACATCTTCCTGAGGCAAGGAAGTTAACTGATTTTAAACATGTTAAAAGTCCAATTTCCACCCTTGCTGAACTCGGCTGTAATTCTGTGGCTCGATAGTAGCTCCACAAGTTGCTGTTACAAGTTATGTCCCTACTATGTCCCTCCCATTAACCTATCATATTACTTGCATTTGCTTCAAACAAAGCGGTGGCACCCAGTCAAGGCGGTCTGATCGATGATAAGGATCAGTGTTGTTATATAACGGGTCTTACCTCGCAAAATGCATCAAATTACTTGAGCACCTACAGTAGATCGTATCTATACTTGACAGGCTAGCTCGCAAAGTATCAACTGGCATTTCCTCTGTCAATCTGTTTCATCATCATCTTAGTTTCTCTTTCGTTCCTCTGAAAAGAAGGAACATATCCTGGTCTATTGGTTCACTACGACAGCTCCGCCATGCTTTGCAAATGTCATCTAGAAATATATTTAGCTACGTGTACCATGTGTACTACTAGCTAAGTGGCCTTATAGAGCTCGATATAAAATATTTTGGTGCAGTTACCTGACAGCATTTAATGGGCATCGCATTGTGTATAGTTATTCCTGATACAGTGTGCAGAGTGAAAACAGCGACACAACTTCATACAAAGCCATATAGCTGGCACACTAGCCATGTTTGACGTAATGTGATATTTGAGAGTACATGATTTGGGGTTTTAATGAGGTTACAGTTAAAACTAATTGTTTTGGTACACGAACACTTTTTTGTTTTATTTCATTGAAATTAATTAAAACACAGTGCAGCATAATGACCACTCTGTAATTTCAATGTTCAATGTGCACGTTTGAAAATTGAATGCACTAATGGTGCAAAGGCGCAGCCTGGAAGGAACTAAATGCCTAACCTTTAGCTGTGGAGGTGGTTGATGTATTGATTGCTCCTCATATTGCATGAGCAGATGGGAATCATGTTGATGACTTCCACATTATTTTCAGAATGGATCCATATTTAGAATGTTTGATATTTATCAGCCCTGGCTTGTTGCAGGTTCTCCCCTTGACCCATAGTGTTCAAGGGATAGCTTGACCCTGCTGCCACTGTCCACAATCCTGATACTAACCGGCTTTTCCATTTGGACAACTGGACATCTGGACCACTGGATGGTACGACAAGGGAAAATAAATGGTAAAAATTACACATAGAATATGGACTTTTTTCAACGTTTATCATGGTCACATGTCATATACGAGGGTGGATTGATAAGTTCTGAGCCTCACATGGAAGGAATGACGTAGGGAAATATTTGTTGTGAACATTGCCTAATGGCATAGAAGTATATCTTGAGGAACGTGCATGGATCAAGTTCTTGCAGAAAACAAAAGCCATCCATGAAGATATGAGTTCAAGACAAGGGTTGGGTGCCTCTTCCTGTGCCACTGTAAAAGAGGTGGGCAGTAGAGTTTACGCGTGGCAGAGAAAGCCTTGAAGATTACCTCCATCCTGGCCATGAGAAGGACTTCTAAGATACCGGGATCAAATCCCTCCAACCTGGTTGGCTAAAGTGTATCAATGTGGAAGGGAATTATGTTGAAATGTAAAGCACTTTCTATTTCTTTTAGGTCAAGTCTTTCTATGTGAGGTTCAGAATTTATCAATCAACTCTCGTAAAATTATTTTGCATTATATAGGTAAAAGGCTTTATCAAGGGCACTGTTAGCATAGCATTTGTTATGACGTATAAAGAAAAGTGGGTTGCGGCTGTGATACATTGATGTAAATCAAATACTGTGTTACATATTATGACCAGAATACTTGACAGAGTTGACATCAGATGAGATCAAAGGAAAAATTATTTTTTGATCTTTTGAAATTGATGATTTATCTAAACACTTGAGCACATCATACAGACTGTTAGTCAGTTTACTTATAGACATTACAATATGGTCCAGTGTTGATCCGTCCCCTGTAGGGAGCCTGGGTTAGACAAGTAAGAATTTGCTTCTGGCAACCTTTGCTTGTCGTAAGAGGTGTCTTCTTGGATCGGGTGGTTGGATTGGGTAGTCGGATCGCGTGGTCAGATCGGGTGGTTGGATTGGGTGGTCAGAATGGGGTGGTCAGAATGGGGTGGTCAGATCGGGGTGTCGGTTTGGGTGGTCAGATCGGAGTGGTCGGATCGGAGTGGTCGGATCGGAGTGGTCGGAACGGAGTGGTCGGAACGGGTGGTCGGATTGGGTTGTCGGATCTTATCGGATTGTCAGTGACATTGTTGATTGTGTAACATCATACCCCACTGGCACATGATATCCATCTCTGGATTGTCAGCTTCAAACTTGACTCTCTACAGGCTGCTGTCATGTGGCTGGAATATTGCCGCATCCACATTAAGCAACAAACAAAACAAACTAGTTATGATGCATGAATCCAGTTTGTTGTAGGTTCGCCATTTGTTTGATTTGTTAGATTATCAAAACAACATGGTGTCAGGTACTTTAATTTCAATATGTCCATTTATGCGACTTATGGCTCTAAATCCTCCTTGCATGTCACCATCAGTATCACAGCTTCAGTGGAATGACTGATATTACTGCAAAGTAGTGCCAACCTAATCATTGCTAATATAGTCAGGGAACTTTCCGTTCATTCTGGAAACCAACTGTACAATGGAGAATGCGCCGCGATATGTCCGTGGAAGCCCAAGCGAGGTAGGGTCGGGAATGGGAAACCAACTATCTAGTAACTAGTAGAAATGAATGTAAACAATATTGAATAAAAGTTTGAATACACTTAATAAAATAGATTACAAACATAAGTCCAGATATACAATTGACATCCATAAATTCTCTTCCTTATATGTATCACTTTCTAAATGCCTTTCAAAGACCAGATATACAATGAACACTTTTTATAACCAAACAGTGTATTTACATGATAAGTTTGCGTATTTCAGTACTGATTTTTCAACATGGTATTTTCGGTGTTACATACTCACAGTAATGTCTTTGTGTTTGTGTTGTGTATAAGACAACCCCCCTTGAAAGCCCCCTACTTCTAGGCACGATAAACTCACCTTATAGGCAGCGCTATACTGTATACGACAACGATATACAGTATTTACCTAGTCTTATTTACTGTCTTCTTACCATGTGCCTTTGTACTAATTAATATGACTTCCTGTGGTCAAGATTTGGGGGACTTGAGTACGCTGGGGATGAAACTTGATTGACTTGTGTAACTGATGATGGGGCCATCTTTGTTGGAGATTACCATTTCACTATGTATTTTCCCCTGTCTCTCCTGTAATACTAGGAAAGAAAACATCCAGGTTTTATTTGAAATTGAACAAAACAAAACTGACTTAGTTTTATGATTTGACAGCAGTTTGTTCTTTGCATGCCATGGGACTCGCTGTGCTTGTATATTATTTGCATCCTTCTCCAATTTATATGAGTAAAGTTCCTTTAAAGTCAGACTCACTGACTTGGTTTATGCATGTCATTGTATCCCAATTGTGTGTAGGGGCGGTCAGGTAGCCTAGTGGTTAAAGCGTTTTATCGTCACAACGAAGACCCGGGTTCGATTCCCAACATGGGTACCATGTGTGAAGCCCATTTCTGGTGTCTCCCGCCGGGATGTTGCTGGAATATTGCTAAAAGTGGCGTAAAACCATACTCATTCACTCACTCACTCCCAATTGCGTGGATGATGCTCATGATGTCAATCACTAGATTGTGTGGTCCAGACTTGATTATTTACTGACCGCCGTCATATAGCTGGAACATTGCTGAGTGGGGCGTTAAACAACAAACAAACAAACAAACAAATATAGGAGTACAGGAGCCTTTGTCTGTATCTCAGAGTTGTTGCACTAATCCCGGTTCGCCCCAGTTATGTTTCTAGGTTTGTCAGTACCATGCCCATGCTCATCGGTTTCACCTAAGTGGTAAACGTCTGAGACCTGCATCACTTTGGGCTTTCCTCCCACATTAAGCTGACATGCCGCGATATAACTGGAATACTGTTAAAAGCGGCGTTAAACCCACCTCACTTACTCACTCAGTTGTTGTGATGATACACAGTCCTGTGAGAGAGACTGGGAAAACAACCTCCATGTAATGTGGTGCCTCGAGATGACAGCTGGCAGGGTGTACAGTTCACTGTACAACCTGACCTTCATGTATCCATGGGAGTGGTCGGGGAGCCTAGTGGTTAAAGCGTTCACTCGTCACGCCGAAGAACCGGGTTCGATTCCCGACATTGGTACATTGGGTGAAGTCCATTTCTGGTGTCCCCCGCCGTGATATTGCTGCGATATTGCTGAAAGTGGCGTAAAACCATACTCACTCACTCACTCACTCATGTATCCATGTGCACTAATCATGCTAATGACAGTCATGTCAGTCAGTATATTGAAGTGATACAGTTGAGAATTACACAATACTCGTCAATACTTGGAAATTGTAACCTCATTGTCTGATGATATTATTGTTACATATTTAGAAATCCCAGTGACCTTTCACATGATAAAGATTAACATTATTTTATTAATGAATAAAAATGCCCAGCTCAAAGCACAGTATCCAACATACCAGTACTTCTTCCTTTAAACAGCATGTATGGATGACAAGTGATTATGGTTTTGAAGTACCTGTTGGTCATCACGGATAATCCTTTATTAGAAATTAGATTTTCATTTCACCTCGGCCTTATCAGAAACGAGACATTTAAGCCCATTTCACCTCACCTCACCTCACCCTTATTAGAAATGCAATATTAAATTCCATTTCATAAAGTGCTTAATCAGAATTAAGATACCCAGAAACTGCACATAGGATGCTGGCGTTAGATAATAATTAAATCTTGACCAGACACTCCAGGGGTATGAGCAACACGTGAGGGTAGGATGTCACAGAGCCTGACCAACCAATCCATTGAGTAGCTAGCATATGCTGCTGGGGACGAATTCTCTCACAGAATCCCTTCAATAGATGCCTGCCTTCAATAGATGCGTGCCTTCAATAGATGCCTGCCTTCAATAGATGCCTGCCTTCAATAGACACCTGACTTGAATAGATATCTGCCTTCAATAGATGCCTGCCTTCAATAGACACCTGACTTGAATAGATATCTGCCTTGAATTGATGACTGCCTTGAATAGATGTCTGCCTTGAATAGACACCTGACTTAAATAGATGACTGCTTTGAATAGATGCCTGCCTTGAATAGATGACTGCCTTGAATAGATGCCTGCCTTGAATAGATGACTGCCTTGAATAGATGAATGCCTTGAACAGAAGACTGCCTTGAATAGATGACTGCCTTGAACAGATGACTGCCTTGAATAGATGACTGCCTTGAAGAGATGCCTGCCTTGAATAGATGCCTGCCTTGAATAGATGCCTGCCTTGAACAGATGACTGCCTTGAATAGACATTTGGTCAAAAAGACTTGTGTTCACTTAATGCAGTTGGAATCATGTTTCTTGAGAGACAAGCAAATGCACTGTCCTTAATTAGATGCCTGGGAGTCTATTTACGATAGTTCAAGGCTGACATCACAGCTGGGGTTGCAATGTAGTCTTCAAAGTGAGAACAAGAAATCAATATTTACAAATATTACAGTATGTTCATTACTACATCGGTGACATTTTACACGCATCACTTGTTTAATCAGTTTTATACACAGCCAGAGTTTGATGGATGTAGGCTGTGCTGGTAGAGATTAGTGTGAGGTTAACATGTCAACATCAATGTCTCCAAGAGCAACAAGGATGTTTCTTGAGAGCTTTCAGAAACCTGCCAACTGGATGTCTACAAAAGTGATGTTTTTGCTGTTTGTTTTTATGTATGTCAGTGTATCAGAGTGTGGAACTTTGTTTAAGTATTCATACATTGAAATACATTGAGATGGACTGTGATGGACTGTTATGGACCATCATGGACTGTTATGGACTATCATGGACTGTCATGGACTATCATGGACCATCATAGACTGTCAAGGACCATCATGGACTTTCGTGGACTATCATGGACTGTTATGAACCATCATGAACTGTCGTGGACCATCATGGACTGTCATGGACCCTCATGGATCATCCTGGACTATCATGGACTGTTATGGACTATAATGGACTGTTATGGACCATCATTGACTCTCATGGACCCTCATGGACCATCATGGACTATCATGGGCTGTGATGGTCCATCCTGGACCCATTAGCAAACATAACTTTGTTTTGAACCTGATTCAAATGGCACACACAGCAATAAACACGTCCATACAATCAAGTGTGTGACTTCCAAAACAAACCTGTAGTGAGTAGGTCCAGCATATTTATCGCAATAGAATGGAGACATACACTTGATAACCTAGGATGCTTGCTCTGATACACACTGTTGATGCACCATATTCATGATATTCAGGCAAGTAGCAACCCAGTTTTTTTAGGAATGTAGAAGACAAGCGCTACTGGTGGCAGGTGGTTCATTGTATAGTCTGCATAATACATGTACAGCATCACTCTGTTCCTACATTTTTAATCCTGATCAGTAGACATCTGGCACGGTTTTGTCATCGTTTAAACAAATAATTTATATATTTCAGATATGTCTACCGACAAGACTCTCTGTTTTTGGCCAAAGGATTCATTTGAATAGACCTTTTGCAATGGCAACAACAATGGTCGGGATGATGTTGGGAGTTTATGTTGCCTTCCAAGTGGTGGTTCAGACCCTTGAGGAGCAAGTAGGAAACACTGCGTATTCCCTTGGGACAAGCTCCTCCAGTCAAACAGAGTTCAGCATGGACTTTAACAGCACCAGGAATGTATATGCTGTTATATTTGACGCTGGGAGCACAGGTTCCAGAATGCATGTATATCACTTCAGAAAAAATCAGGGTAAGTGGTAGAAGTCGTAAAAATATAGTAAGTATGCCAGTGAATCCAAGCAATTTGCTGTGAGTTTTGTCCCTTAGGCAATGCAGGATCTGCTTTTCATGGGTTTGCATCCGAGATATGACATGACTATGATTCTTGTGTATCAACACCATACACATACACACGTTTCAGCTATGAAGCAGACATGCATGATCATGACTATCTAGGGGTTTAGTGGATAGAGTGTTTGCTAAGAGAGCAGAAAGTCGGAGGTTTGATCCCTGTCTGCATCATACCAAAACATGTTAAAAGATGGTATTTGGTGTTACCATACCAGGCCCTTGGCATTGAGGGGATAAAACAAGGACTTGTCATTTTGGAGTTGGTATACTGTGTCTGAATGGGTCATCCATATTAAAATTGGGCCATGGCATTTCATAGGATAAGCACTGTAAATCCGGCATTAGACCTGACTAGTGCAACAGCCACACACTCATGTCCATGCACATCGCTTTTTAAGAGCAATAATCTCCCCTCCCCTCATGATGATGTCACTGTAATACTGCCCAAGTGACATTTACAGGTTTCTTTAGTCATACCTTGTTTGCTTGCATGAGTCATTTTAAAGTAATCAGATGCATTGATATGGGTGGGAATTTGATGTATAACATCACTAAATACATAAGTACATCATATGTATAACAGCACTAAATAGGGTTGAGGGAGTGTGTGTCCTTATATTGGAATATGTCCAAGTCGGTGCCCAAGCTGATCTTCTTTAGAGATGAAAATAACATGGATTAAACATTACAAACGTATGAAAAAGACTTGCTCGTGTTTAATATTTTTTCTGGAAATTTAAAAAATAAGCCATTTTCATTTAATGTAGCAGTATTTATCATGTTTATTATGTCAGAAGTCCTTGCAAGTGCTAATATTAGAAATGGTTGCTTGTCAGCCGTTTGAACATGTCTGATAACTGTCATACCAATAAATTGTATTTCAAAGTTTTCTGCAACTTAAGAGGGCCCTTATCCTACCACTTTGGTATGTTATTACCCAGGCCTCAGACTACTGGTTAAGGTCATAGATGGCAAGACAAGACATATTTATAGTCGCTATGTGTCCTTGTTGCAGATTGGAATGTAGAGTTGGTGCATGAGACGTTTCAACAAGTGAAGCCAGGCCTATCTAATTACAGCGCTGATCCCCAGAAGGTGAGACCAGCATTCACCCATCACAATAATCACACTTCTGTACACAGTACACAGGCCTCAGTAGGCAATATACTGTCACTTGAGAAGCCTGTGTAGTAAAGTCGTATACCAGCAGCCTGTATGGGCATGGCGACACTTAAATAACTGGCAAGACACACATTGGGATCACCCAGTCCTCCTCGTTGTCAGCTCTTATGACAAACATGGGGTTCCACAGGGGTTAGAATAGGTCCCCAGCAACCTATGCTTGCCGTATGAGGATCAAATGGATTGGGTGGTCACGTTTGGTGACTTGGTTGCTCACAATGTCGATCACTGGAATGACTTTCACGCCACCGTCATATAGCTGGAATATTGCTGAGTGTGGGTTTCAGTATTAACTTGGAACTTTGGCACCTAGTCTGACCTGACATCTCTGCTGAGTCCCCAAGCTTAAGGGTCAAGTGAGCTTTTTGTCATGACCATCGTCAGTCGTCACGGTGCATTCTTCTGTGAAACTGGTCCACTGATGAGACTGAGCTTGCAAGCCTGTCCCTTCCACTGATCATGAGGATACCACTGAACATGCTGAACATGAATACAGGACACTTTTTTAGGGATAACAACTTTTATTCTTTGTCATGACGTTTCTGAGCTACTGATGTAGGAGCAAGCACTCGCTCAGAAACGTCGTACAAAGAATAAAAGAAGTTGCTATCCATACAAAAGTGTCAAGTATTCATGTTCTTCCAACTTCTAAATGCCTATCAAAGACTTCATGTTAAACATTGTTTGAATTCAGTGGATGCATGGATGTTGATCATGTTCATGATCACATTGTATAAGCATGGTAATGAGGTAAAGATTCTGTTTACGTGAGTGAAGTATTGTTTAACCAGGTGAGCTGCAATGCTGTGGTCAACTATTTGTGTTCATACTCGCTCAATGGAGAAAGCATTACAGATAAATTAAGGAGGAGGGACAATATATATTAAATGACTAATGGACAGTCATGAGGCAATTGTTAAATGTTTAATTATGACATTATATTCAATTTATCTTTCCAAAAATAAATAAATTTGTGAATTCAGTATCATAGAGAGGGACAAGAAAAATATGGACAGTAATTTGCACATGTTTGGGGAGGGTAAAGTTCTGCCAAAGGTTGACAGATCTCTACTGAAGCCACCTCCCATGTTCAAAGGTTCTGACTGCAACACATTTATGGTATAACTTGCCTCATTAGCTCATTCACTCATGGTCCTGTCATAGTCTTTGCACACTGATGTCCCCAGGGTGCTGAGAGCCTGCACAACATGCTGACATCTGCTATAGGAGAGGTGCCTGTTAAACTCCACTCAGAAACTCCCATCGTCCTCAAAGCCACAGCAGGTCTGAGACTGCTGCCTCATGGAGCGGCGGAGAATCTGTTAAATGAGGTGAGGTCCTGTTACATGAGGTGAGGTCCTGTTATATGAGGTGAGGTCCTGTTACATAAGGTGAGGTCCTGTTACATGAGGTGAGGTCCTGTTACATGAGGTGAGGTCCTGTTACATAAGGTGAGGTCCTGTTACATGAGGTGAGGTCCTGTTACATGAGGTGAGGTCCTGTTATACGAGGTGAGGTCCTGTTACATAAGGTGAGGTCCTGTTACATGAGGTGAGGTCCTGTTACATAAGGTGAGTTCCTGTTACATGAGGTGAGAATCTGTTACATGAGGTGAGGTCCTGTTACATGAGGTGAGGTCCTGTTACATAAGGTGAGGTCCTGTTACATGAGGTGAGGTCTTGTTACATGAGGTGAAAATCTGTTACATGAGGTGAGTTCCTGTTACATGAGGTGAGGTCCTGTTACATGAGGTGAGAATCTGTTACATGAGGTGAGGTCCTGTTACATGAGGTGAGAATCTGTTACATGAGTGGAGGTCCTGTTACATGAGGTGAGGTCCTGTTACATGAGGTGAGAATCTGTCACATGAGGTGAGAATCTGTTACATGAGGTGAGTTCCTGTTACATGAGGTGAGAATCTGTTACATGAGGTGAGAATCTGTTACATGAGGTGAGAATCTGTTACATGAGGTACGAATCTGTTACATGAGTTCAGTTCAGTGGAATATGCTATGAAGGTTATTCTAGGTTTACTATTCTCTAGCAGGACTCAAGTCAAATGAACTACAATAGTGTTGTAAGGTCTTGGATTGTCAGTAGCAAAGCTGTGCTCATGAGTTTTTACTAAGTTTGTATGTAGGACCTGCATCATTTTGTGCTTAAACATTACGTACTGAAGAATTGACTTCAATATTCTTTGTGTTTATGGAGTTAATAACTTAAAAACCTGTGTGCACCTGTATAAGCAGATTTACGTATGTGTGCACACGGTATAAGCAGATTTACGTATGTGTGCACACGGTATAAGCAGATTTACGTATGTGTGCACACGGTATAAACAGATTTACGCATGTGTGCACACGGTATAAGCAGATTTACGTATGTGTGCACACGGTATAAGCAGATTTACGCATGTGTGCACACGGTATAAGCAGATTTACGTATGTGTGCAAACGGTATAAGCAGATTTACGCATGTGTGCACACAGTTTAAGCAGATTTACGTATTTGTGCACACGGTATAAGCAGATTTACGCATGTGTGCACACGGTATAAGCAGATTTACGCAAAGACATATTGAAGTAAATTCTTATGAATAATATGTCAACAATTATAACATCACAGACCAATTATTTAATCAGTAAGACACAAAACTGAAGACAACAAATATGAAATCAGTGATATCGCTCAGTGCAATAATGCAACAAGCTCCGCCCATTCCATTCCATTCAGCCAATCAGGAAACAGTAGTCAATTTGTGGGCATGGCCTAATTATAATATGATTTATGGAAAATAAATGGAAAAAAATTGCTTTGTGAGCCAATCTAATATCATAGAATGATGGGGACTATATTTTATGATATAACTTAAAAACGATTGAAAGCAGCATTAAACCCAAGTGTCTCTCCACAGCCCTACCTACAACATGACACTCTACAAGATGATCAGAGGTGTGATCAGTTCATTCATGGTATCTCACTCTTCCTATTTGCAGGTGTCCGTTCTGTTCAGGAAAACCATGTTTCACCAAGTTGAGCGTGGTGTTGAAATTCTGGGCGGCTCGGAGGAAGGTATGCTGAACGGAATTGTAACAATGATCACATACACACAACATTGTCAGCTCTCTATACAACTGCCATAAAGGGTTTGTCAGGAATGTTACTCTGAAAGTAAAAAGGGTTTTCTCAAACCTGAGACTTTTTTTATTTCCAGCTTTATGGATTCAATCCAGATCAAGCCAAAAGCAACAATCATGACTCACTTTTGTACTTACTTCTGCCGACCCGTGAAGATCCGGGGTAGAATAGGTCATCAGCAACCCATGCTTGCCGTGAAAGGCTACTATGCTTGTAAGAGGCGACTATCGGGATCGGCTGGTCCGGCCCGCTGACTTGGTTGACGCATGTCATCAATCCCAATTGCGTGGATAGATGCTCATGATGTCAGTCACTGGATTGTCTGGTCCAGACTCGATTATTTTCAGACCGCCGTCATATAGCTGGAATATTGCTGGGGGCTGCGTTAAACAACAAACAAACAAACAATCTTACTTCTGCCCTAAAACTTTTTCTTTTGAAAATACAAACCAAAATCAAGCAGAAAGATAACTGTCAAGTATTGAGTGATCAAGTGCAGTGTATACATGGAATATAGCCACTGACCACTGACCTCCTGACAGAGGAAATAAAGTGTTCTAAGACATAAGTAAATGCATGTACATATTGCTGCACAATATTGTGCACATACTCGGATTACAGTTTACATTTTCAACTAATACAATGAATCGGAACAGCATATGCTAACTTGATTGAAAATTATGAGCTATTTATATATATTTCTATTTCATCCTGACAAGGTTATTTGCATAAAATGTAAACAAGATGGTGAGGGCATGCTAATTCATTCTGTAGTGATTTTGGTATCATGTATTGAGTATAACAAAGAGCGATAATCTTAATCATAATAATCCTTTGTTTCTAACTATAAAAAATAAAACAGGTTCTATCAAACTTACTTTTTCAGGTATATTCAGCTGGGTTACAGTTAATTATTTAGAAGGTAAGTAATTAAATGAGATGGGAGGTTATTAGCTGAGTTTGTTCATAACGAAAACACTTACAACGAACTAATGTATATACATGTATACCGAACTATTTTGGGGTCCCGGCCATTTGCTGTATATTTTATCATATAAAATTGTTGGATATAACGAACATGCTTACAACGAAAAAAAACTGATATGGTGAACTCACTTTGTGGTCCCGTGTGTACTGTCAGCGACAATGCTCATGTTTAAAACAAACTGCTAATCTCGGAGGCCCATGTGTCACCTATCAGCCTATCAAAATATCCGCAGCCACCGCGGCAATAAACAACTGAAGGCAAGTGATTGACTGGATTAAGTACTGGCACTATACCGAAACGTCACCTTTACAGTACTTAAAGAAGTTATTATACCCCCGTTCGTCCGTCCTTCCGTCTGTCCTTCCGTCCGAGCTTTTGTACAGCCCATAACTTTTTAACCATGCACCCTAGCTTCACCAAACTTGCTACACACATTAACCACAATGAGTATTTGTGCCTTTTGCTAGTTAGAAGATTCTGAATTTTTTATTTTTTGCCGTTTCCATGGAAACATTAGAAACTTAAACTTTTAGGGTGGGTGTTTTGTACGGCCCATAACTTCTTAACCATGCACCCTAGCTTCACCAAACTTTCTACACACATTAATTGGTCAATTGTCACTGGAACTTAATCTTAGTTTTTAAAACATTGAAGTTAAAATCAGTTAGAAATATGTAATATTTCATTAATTAACAAACTATTTACTATTTGTTGTTGACCAGCGGGGATAACGGGGGTATGTGAGCTTTCCTCACTTCTTTCTTGTTATCCCTAAATTGTGTCTACTTTTTCATCCATCAACTTCCAGGTAATGCCTATCCAACAGTTCATGCTAGAACTAATAAAGTAATTTGAATGAAAAAGGCTAGTTGTCAACCATTTGACCATGTCAGATAATTTTCATACCTTTATTACGAATATTTTCCCGCAGTTGATATTCCCAGGGTCCTTATTCTATATTGAAGTAATCGGTATACAGATATGTATCAGAAAATTCTATATTACCTGTTGTGAAAACATGGAAGATATGTACGACGTTGGTATGATTTACAGGTGCATTTTACAAAAGTGGGGAGACGGTTGCAGCTCTGGATTTAGGGGGCGGTTCAACACAGATCACCTTTGTGCCAAAAGAAAAGGTGGTTAGAACATATTTATTTGTTGTTTATGTGAAGATATGTCTTGTTTTCGTCGAAGCGATACTTCTTCTCAAGGTCTTTGAAGCTAAGTCTTAGTGTTTCGAAACATGCTCACAGAATTCTTGTGATTATATACAATGGCTGCTAACCATGTAGTGTATTATGCTGCCATTTATTCAGGTATCATTTATAATATGAAGTCAGTGTGTGTAATAATGCATTTTCAATCTTTTGTGAATGTATATTATGGTCTGCCTCTAACCTTCACATATATATATAATGTTGGGAAACGCTTGCTAACAGAATTGTTTTTATTTGTCAAATGTGAAGCTGAATTGTTATGTTTAAGTGTCCAGCAATATGTTGTTTGTAAAAACTGATTGGATGGTTAACATGGCCCCCATCGTGGGCCACCATCCTGAAATTGCCATTTTAGCTCATTGTCATTGGTCATTCAGAGTTTTTTTTCTTTTTCAGACTTGCACGGTTTTCATGATGAATTTCTTGTTGAACTGAAAGTTACATTTTTCTCTTACAGAGGACAATCGAGAGTGCACCACACAGCTACCTAACAAGCACTAATCTATTCAGCAAAAACTATACGTTATATACACACAGGTAACTAGAGCAAGAATACCGGTGGTGGTATTCTACAGCTGTCGCTGTCATTACTAATGGGATCTCTATCCCTGTATTGGGAGTAGAGGATTTTGATTATCATAATTATTACCATGGTTGACAGGAATCAGACATGATTGCCTACTTAATTGTATTCTTCAATGCTTTATGGATGGATATAAAACAACATGAAGCAAATATGACAACTGTGACATATACCAGCATGCAACAGCTGTGGTCTGTAATTGCATTGAAGACATGTACACCTAACACAGTAACACCTATCTTCCAGAAGTAAGGGAGTTATCTGACGGTGAAAGTCCAGCTTCAACCCTTGCCGAACTAAAGTAGACATGCTAGACATGCTAGAAAACTGCTTTTCTGGCTTCATTTAATAAATACGAGTCATAGGACTATAGAAAGAGCCTATATCAAAATAATGCAAATTGCCCTAATCTAGCCTATCCTAAATGACACTGTGATTACCTTTAAAATGTACTTTAACAGGTAAAATCATGATCAACTTAGAAAATATTCGTGTGTTGTCATGCATGTATGAAATGGCCTATAACCTGAGGTAATTACCAAACCCCTGTCCGAGGTGATGACCTCACACCCTCCCGTGCATTCTCCCAGGTGCAAATGTCACCGAGTTGGGGGTGGTCCCAAAATATTGCTGTTATTGTACTTAATTGACACGTGCGTTGATGGGGTAGCAATTAAGGATATATACTGCATTATATTTGCTTGGAAACATGATGGAATAGTTAAGAGCTATGAAACGGGATGAGCATTTGAAGGTTGCTGTTTTGGAATCTAGAAGTATTTGTTGTTCTACATATGATTTCTTGAGGTAGCATCTATCTCCGCTGATGACATATATAAATCTGTACTTTTGAATGTTGTGTTATGTCTTGCCAGGAACCCTTTACACTTAGCCAAGATGGGCACAACAGGGTTGAGCTCACAATGTCTGACTGGCGTATGTAAGACAACGTGACCGTGTTGTGCTGCCAGCACATATGTCCTGTACTTTACAGGGTTCTTATTCAGCTGAATTTTCTCCATGAGTTGAACTTTCGTTTCATATGGTCTGAAGTCGACAATGTCATATATTCCTGTCTGGTCACCTTCAGACTACTCATGGTATTGGCTACAGTATCTGATTCCCAGGCGTTATATTAACATGATATATAATCCATGACAATGACACTGACATTTAAAACAGACAATAGCTGAAGTTCCAACCAGTCTATGAACACATCACTGCCTATAATTTCCTTATGAGAATCACCAGTTTTCTTTTTTACCTCGAAAACTAGCACACATCCATCAATAAGCCCCATATCATGGGTTGCAGCATGCAAAACAATGACACGAATACCTTTACCTGATTGTACCATGTGTGCTTTTTGTCCATCTGCAGATAGCCACACGTAGTCAGTGGAATGAGTCATCAAGGTAAATTATCTGAACACCCTGACAGTGATAGTTATGAATGGTTCGGCGATAATGTGACCTCATAGACAGGATGGAATATTTTACCCTGAAAAGTGCTCTGTCATCACCACGCGCAGTGTATCGAAATCCCATTTCTTGGAGGGCAATAGTTAGTGCAGTTAACATTAATTGTATCTTTAATTCCTCCCAAATTCTACTACAAGTCAGGGTTACCTTCTGCTCATAAAGCTTGTACACTATACACCTAATCACCCTGTATCAAATCTGTCTAATATCCTTTTACGTCCCAGTTTTGTTTTTGAGACCACCCCTATACCTGTTTTGTTTTATTTATCATACAGTAGACTTGATGGGGTGAACTGAAAACCATATAGCTTGGGCAGTTCGGTAATTCACCCTGTCTAAATTAATAAATGTTTTCCCCCTATCTCTATAAACATGCTAAAGTGTAAAGAACTGTGTACAGATTCTGTATTGTGTACCATTGTTATAGCTTTGCAAGTATAATGTAACATGTATCATGGTAGCAATGTTAATAAAACACACGCAGCGTCATTTTGTCATTTTAAAAGATGCACATCTAGAATTTTCTCAAAATGATTTTTTTGTGTGTGGATTAGATGTTTTATGAAGACTACATTATTATCATCATTGGACTTAGAATAAATGTAAACTTCCTGTTTTCGTTCGAATTTGTTTCCTGTAAACTTGTCGATAGGACTCCTTGTGACTGAAATACTTCAAAACACCAATCTCATTAAAATGAGATCTTAGTTCTCGCTATCACTAAACAAAGATCTGAGGACATACATGTCAGACCGACCTTTGATCGACCAATGGAATGACTGACAAGAAGTCGACATTAGCCAATCAGAAGGCAGTTTACTCATGCTTTACGGCACTAATTTCAAATTGGCGACTACGCTTTGAAACATATTTTGACAAGTTCTCGATTAAAAATATGAAACCTGAACAAAAGAACGTTCTGGAATGGCTAACAAAAAGTCTAGATTGTATGGATTCAGTCGTTAACCCCGTAACTATTGTTCAGAATACCCCGTGTAAAACTTTTTCGAGGATGCATGATTAGAAATCACATTCCAACCGTCACTTTCATGATCTGGTAAGCGACTCTCTGATTGGGCGGATGAAAGGTCACTCTGACATGACCCCTACTGTCCTCAAATCTTTTTTTAGCGGTAGCGAGAACTAAGATCTGATCTGAGGTAGATCGATTGGTAGTTACTTGATATTTAAATAACAACAGTCTAGAAAAATTATATCCTTTTTTAACAGGCAAAAAGCAGTTTTTTAGCATTTCCGACAGTACCCTGGTACTTAAGACAGGAATTTCTTGGCTCGATTGCAGCGACACCAGTGGCGAGTTAAGTCCCTTCTATGTCCCTCCTATTGACCAATCAGATTCCACCTCTCATATCACATGCTTCAAACAAAATGGCGGAGAAGACCAGATAATCAAGATCTTTATTGTAACAAAATAGGACTTTCTTCACGAAGTGCATCAAATCATGCGAGCACCTTGATTGAAAGCATGAAAAGATTTGCAATATATATGTTGAAGCTACATTGATGGTACACAAGCTTTGCAAATCCTGCAATCGGCCGAAATCTGCACTGCACTTTACAAACCGGATGTCGATTTGTTTATGCGATTTTGATTGGACAATACATAGACTTGTTAGTCCAGCCAAAATGTAACTCTATAATATAGGAGGGACATAGAAGGGACATAACTCGTTATAGCCACTGGTGGCGCTACTATCGAGCCACAGAATTATAGCCTAGTTCGGCAAGGGTTGAAACTGGACTTTTATAGTCAGTTAACTCCCTTGCCTCGGGAAGATGAGTAAAACCTGGATTTGAACTTATTGTTAAGCAGTTTTCTTTTAACTTTTTAACATAAATCATGTAGCTTTACGTTTAGCAAACATTTTTAAAACAATTAATTTTTACTCTGTATTATGTTGATATATACTAATAGTAAATATTTTCTTAACCACAAATTTGGAAAATGTTTACGAACTTTGGAAAAACTGGAGTCTGATTGGTCAGTCAGATGTATCAAATCACTATATAAACCTCTAACATACGTTTTATGCCCTAATTGACCTAATTAGTAGATCAAGACATGTGTTAAATATGGAATTGGTTGTGCCTCATGTTCCATTTTCATCTGTGTTAAATACAATTGCTATTTTTCTTCCCATGTGTAGTTACCTTGGGCTGGGCTTGATGTCAGCAAGATTCAGGGTGCTGGGAGGGACAGAGAATGAAGATGGTAAGTGGAGTATAGATGCTCTAGGTTTTGTTGCAACTTCAGTGGTATCATCCCATTTATCAACTGTCATGAAATACCAATTACTACTTACTGAACGAACAGAGTCTGTGCGCTGTGTTTTACCTTGTTTAAACTGTAGGTTGGTTAGATCATGTTAGCTTAATATTGAAAGAAAGCTTAATGTGACACAGTGTACAAACCAAATTTTGAAAGTTGAAAGTGGGATTTGAACCCAGCGTCATGAAACATGGGCACGGATGAGGAACTCTGCACATCAGACTGCTTTAGCTTAGAATTGTGGGTCATAACTCGCTGCGGTAACCGTACTGCTCTGTGTAAACGATTATGATATTGACTTGTCGCGACACGGAGCTACAGGCTTTCCTATAGTGTTTCATGTTTTCACATCGTTTGTGGTGGACATCTCATAGAGGTATATCCACACAAACCTGAGTCAGATTGTTTCCCTTATGATGTAAAGGATAGATCACACCTTTGGTTGAAAATGTAAACATGAAGAAAGCTCTATCCAGAACACGTTTTGATTCGGATGATGGCATCATAGCAACTTTGGAGAACATTTTGAACAGCCGAGACAAGAACTTATGTGAAGCTGGTATAAAATCACTCCAACGTTGTTGGCAAAAATGTATCAATGTGGAAAGGGATTATTTTCAAAAATAAATCATTTTAATTAGGGCTGGGACGGGTAATTGGATACCCGGGTCAGGTGGGTCCTGAGTAGGACCCGGGTACCCACAGGACTACCCGGACCTGTGGTTAGTCACGTGATATATTGTTTAATGACAAAAATGATCTAGAACTCTATGGTTGTACTACAAGTCATTAATGTTCGCATTTCTTTCTGACTATGCGCATGTTCCTTCTCACTTTTATATGTTTGAATTAAGATAAAGCTTCAGTCAACTTCAGTGTATGCATGACCAGATCATTTTATATGTGTATCGAAACACATTTTGCCAGGGCTACAGTCAAACTATTCCCAATAGCGGGTACTCGGGGAGGGTTGGGTAACAGAGGGGTGGGTACCAGGGTAGTAAATTTGGACTCGCCCCAACCCTAATTTTAATGTCTTCAAGTCAGGTTTTTCTATGTAACTTTCAGAACTTAACAACCAAACCTCATACCATCTGGCACTGTATGTTTAGAGGTAATTACTTTTTATGTATGTAACATGTAACATGTGTAAGAAAGGCAGCTACACTGGAACACTAGTTGAGTACAATGTAATCAGCAGCTTGTCCTGCTACCGCCATGCTGTGTGTGGTATACCGCCTATGTTGATGGTATCGCAGGTGTTGTGCAGACCATCTCTCTACAGTGGTAACTTTTGCAGATGGAGCTTCGACATCATCAGAGACCCTACGCAGTGCCTGTCTGCCTCCGGACCGAGAGTTCAGCTGGGTGCATCATGGTGGCAAAAAGTTTAATGTTGGGTGTGTAGTGGGCAGTTAGAATTAGGTTTTCAGGAAGGTTACATGTCCCCCCAAAATAGCGATTTCGCTTTTAACTTTTTTTCATGATTTTTTAGACAATTTTGGTATGTTAAATTTTTGTTCAAGAAACAGCCTAATTTCTAACTCTTAGGAAAACCATTAATCTCAAAAACATGTTTTATATTTTGTTAAACATACACATAATAAGTATTCTGACATTTTCAAACATATAGAAATTAAGACAAGAGCAAAGATAATATTTATGAATACTAAATCTGAAATGTCTGTTGTATTTACTTTTTTCCCACCCCCTGAGAAGGATTTTTCACTCACCCCACCACAGCAATATTCAGGAAAGAAAACATGTTTGGCCTTATGATGACATTGAGATTGTAAAAGATTCAGCAACATGTTCATCATGCCTGGGATGAACTTTGACCTTTGCTTGTTTCCAGGGGGCTACCGGAGAGTGAGTCCGGCTACTCCCAGTGTTATGCTACAGTACAGCCACTGGTCACATCGTCAGTTGCGACGGTGCCAGAGCTGTCCCAGCAGAAAGTTTATGCCTTCTCCTATTTCTTTGACAGAGCAGTGGATTCTGATCTTATAGGTGAGGCTCAGTTCAGTTAGGCGATATATACTCACCGAGGGGGCACGGGTGGCCCAGTCGTCTAAGGCGCCGCAATTCGCTGTGCAGAGTTGCGTCCCTTGGGCATGCCAGAAACCTACGATTGTGGGTTCGAATCCCGGTTCGCCCCAATTATGTTTCTAGGTTTGTCAGCACCATACCCGTGCTAGTCGGTTTCACTGAGGTGGTAAACGTCTAAGACCTGCCTCACTTCGGGCTTTCCTCCCACATTAAGCTGACACGCCGCGATATAACTGGAAAACTCTTAAAAGCGGTGTTAAACCCAACTCAGTCACTATACTCACCGACAAAAGAAACGCGAATACCATACATGTTGGTTTATATATGAAGAATTAATCATATTCAAGAGATATCAGATTGGTTTGATACACAACCGAATATACTGGTATGTTGTGCGAACAGACGCTCATGAACACATCACATGTGACGTCATAGATCCATGAGTCTATTAGCATGTAAAGTTTGGAAATCACATACAGCATATCGTGATAAGAATAAAGATGCTGGAGTAACACTTGATTGATTGTTAGTTTTGTCATTAAGTGGTACACATTGGAAACATCTCTTCTTAAAGTACGTACTTCTCTATAATGTTTCTATGGTTTGCGTTTCTTTTGGTGGTGAGTATATTAAGCATCCAATTATGTGTAGATTTGTTATCACTACATTGAACTTGGGAAGGAACATGAAGCTGTATGTCTTAACTCACATATGTTCCATATTTCAAGAAAGCCATTTAAAATGTTGTAAATGTTTGAAGTTGCATCGCAACCATGATTCCTTGAGATGATCGTTTTCACACTGACAGGGCTTACTTAGTCAGTCATTGTATTCTGATTTGAGACCTCAGATTTCTCCAGAACAGGGGTCAGAGTAAGGGAATGAGTTTCTGCAAACATTCTATTGTTTTAGGAATACTTTTGGGAATAGTATATGTTTGTTTCAGTTTCGGCTGCCAAGTGTAATATTTAGACATCACATAAAATGGAAAATGGAAATACATTTATACTTTTCAGGTTTGATTGATTGTTATTTAATGCAACACTCAGCAATATTCCAGCTATATGATGGCAGTTTATAAATAACTGAATCAGGACCAGACAATCCAGTGATTAAGTTATACCCGTGCTTTCTCGACCAATACAATTGTTTCCTAGTAAAACCTTCACTGCTATTACCCTGGCAATCCTGTGATGAAACTGTACCTGTATTGGACAATACATTTTGAAAAGTATGAGTACAACAAAGTATTGCAATTTCAGATGAAGTCAACGGAGGCTCAGTTCTAGTTACAGATTTCCAGGAAGCTGCTCAACGAGGTACCCTCAGTTGATGTCTTTACTAGCCGACATATAATTCTTATGATTGATCTATTGACCTTTCACACAAAAAGTGATTCCACATAGGAGGTCGCATCAGATGAAGCCTGAGATAACTTTGCCCGGCTAATCTAAACAAAAGATTAGATGAATGATTGAGATATTGTAACAAATAGAGCTATTGTAACAGATAGAGATACTGTAACAGATAGATACTGTAACAGATAGAGATATTGTAACAGATAGAGATGTTGTAACAAATAGAGCTATTGTAACAGATAGAGATACTGTAACAGATAGATACTGTAACAGATAGAGATATTGTAACAGATACATACTGTAACAGAAAGAGATACTGTAACAGATAGAGATATTGTAACAGATACATACTGTAACAGATAGAGATATTGTAACAGATAGAGATATTGCAACAGATAGAGATATTGTAACAGATACATATTGTACCAGATAGATACTGTAACAGATAGAGATATTGTAACAGATAGAGATACTGTAACAGATAGATACTGTAACAGATAGAGATATTGTAACAGATAGTACTGTAACAGATAGAGATATTGTAACAGATAGAGATATAACAGATAGAGATACTGTAACAGATAGAGATATTGTAACAGATAGAGATACTGTAACAGATAGAGATATTGTAACAGATAGAGATACTGTAACAGATAGAGATACTGTAACAGATAGAGATATTGTAACAGATAGATACTGTAACAGATAGAGATATTGTAACAGATAGAGCTATTGTAACAGACAGATATTGTTACAGAGTAAAAGATCAGATTTTAATGAGATTGCATTCAGGCCCTTCCATGCTATTCTTAACAAGTGTTAACTGTATGACATATGCATTGGTGTTTTCTAGAACACTCTAGAGGGATGGCAGGAAATTTCACAGGAAATACATGCTGTAATGTATTTTTGTTTCAGCCTGTGACAGTCCTGACATAGATGACCCCTTTCTGTGTATGGACCTGACTTACATATATTCCCTCCTGCACAATGGCTATGGCCTCAGTCTCAGGTCTAGCATTCATGTAAGTAGCACATAAGCCAGCTGCTGAAACTTGATTGTTAGCCATTACGATAACGTGGGACCCGTGAAGAACCGGGGTAGAATAGGTCTTACTGTAAAACAATGACTGTGCTTGTCGTAAGAGGTGCCTAACGGGATCGGGTGGTCAGGCTCGCTGAGTTGGTTGATGCATGTCATGGTATCCCAATTACGTGGATCGATGCTCATGATGTCAACCACTGGATTGTCTGGATCACAGACAGTCTTCAAATAGCTGGAATATTACTGAGTGGGGTGTTAAATAACAAACAAAAATCAAAACAAACAATAACATGGATACATTCTCCCAGCATACATACTTTATCCCTAAGGATGTGATATACCTGTAAACAAAACGTGCAATATCATTTTGTTTAGAAAGGACTTTCATACCATACCAAAGTATTTGGACCATTTACGGTACTTATCAACTCATTTAATAGTGCATTTGCCTTTTCCTAGGAAACCATCAGTTTTGTTCATTTATGAATGTCTGTATCATATATATTTACAGTGAGATGATTTTGCTTTTAACATATTTTTATCAAACTTGGTAGAATTATCTAGATTAAGAAATTTTGGGGCCCAATTTTTATGACACTTGCCATTATGTCTCAGGAATATTACTGAAATTACACTCTCTCACTGACAGGAATTGAAACCCTTTTATTCCTTCAGATTTCCTAGTTTGGATGCATATCATGTTTCAGGTGTTAAAACAAATAAAGAAAATTGAAGTGAGTTGGACACTGGGTGCTGCATTTCAAGTCTTGACCTCCATCGGACATCTGTGATGAATTCATCCCCACGTCTTTCATCTCGACATACATCATGTCACATTCACAAAGCAGTAAAGACCTTAAGGGATTAGCATACCGCATTATATATGAGCAGAGTACAGCTAACATGCTCCCATGTTTGTTTCTACAGGACCACTGTTATAACAGTGACTTCCATACCGATAGGTCTGTGAGGCCATTGCAAAGTCAATTTTGTTGATAAAAATATCCGTTAGTGGTTCCCTCATTTTGAAATTATTGGTAAACCTTTACCTGTCTCAGAGATATAAGGAATATTATTTTATTTTCATTGCCTTTCTGCCATGTTCATAAGACCTATTTGTGGAAGACAATGTCTGTATAAATTGTAGATATTGTAGAACATTTATATAGCTGTTGTTGATGGGGAATCAAAACATTTATGGATTTTGAAAGACACCAGATCATTCATGTAGCTCTTGATCACAAGGCACTTTTATGAAACGGGTCATTGCATTATGAACAAGATGATGTGCATTGAGAATTTGTCGCATTTGTGCATTTTAAACTGATATCTGGATTTTATTTATGTATTCTTATATTTGTAACCCTCCAATGAATCTTTTCTTGATATTAGCCTGAATATCTCCCTTGAAAAAACACATACAGGCATTATAAGTTGTACCAGAATTACAAGGGGTACATGGGGTTTTATGTTTCCCGCATTTGCTTTTATACCTCAAGCAAGAGGCAAGTGGTATAAAGCCTAACGAGGGACCAATAAAACCCCATGTACCCACATGTTTTAATATGACAATGTAAAAGAATTAAAACAAATTAAAAAATGATGGAAAACAGCTGTTTGATTGAGTAGAGGTTAGCTTGTGCTATGTCACATGACTTTTATGTACTCGGAAAAAGTGTGCGGCTCTTTGCTTGGAAGTAGGGTATATGGGATTTTTTCTGCCTCTCAGAACTCCACGTGCAGCCTGACTTGCTCCTGGCGGGGTATAAGGGATTTATAGTCCAGCTGGGAATTTATTTCCCTCCAAGGCGGGATACATTGTATTTAATCAAGTACACATGAACCAGATCGCAACATTCTGACATGAGGCATGATAATACTGTTTACAAACACTGTCTATAAATCATATATCCAGGTCATGTTTTTTATTGCTAAATTATTTTTAGAATTGCAGATTATTTGTACATATATATATTGTTTTAGGGAGAGTGAGAATCATGTTGTTGTTATTTTGCCCTACTGCACAGGCACTTGGTATCCTTCATTGAAGAATGAACCGATATATTTTACTACAATGTTGTGATGTTTTCAAGGTCAGTCTTCCTGCATTTTATTACGCAGTTGTGAGCAGGTTTGATCCACTGATATGAGCAAACTGATCAGACAACCTTATTTTCACTTTCACGATAAGGGTACAACAGTTTATCTATATATTCTCTAGTATTTCCTCAAATTTATAAATACTTGTTTAAGGATGGGTCAAGCTGACTTTGCAGTTGTATTAGAAAGGAACAAAATATGCGTTTGATTGAAAAAACTATTTAACATATTTTGTGTTTACATTTTTGTGAAATCATCCTTGTTTTTAATAACATTTGGCCCCTGCGGACATGATTGATGACAGTCTGCAGGTGTCAGACGTTTACCACTTTGGTGAAACCTACAAGCATGGTATGGTGCTGACAAACCTGGAATCATAATCGTGACAAACCGGGATTATAACCTGCAATGATAGGTTTCTAGCGTAGCAAGGGATGCAACTCTACACAGTGAATTGTGGCGCCTTTAGACGACTGGGCCACCCGTGCCCCCAAGTATCCATAGAGTGAGTGAGTTGGGTTTAACGCCGCTTTTAACAGTATTCCAGTTATATCGCGGCGTCTCAGCTTAATGTGGGAGGAAAGCCCGAAGTGATGCAGGTCTCAGACGTTAACGACTTCGGTGAAACCCATGAGCACGGGTATGGTGCTGACAAACCTAGAAACATAATCGGGGCGAACCGGGATTCGAACCCACAATCATAGGTTTCTGGCGTGCCCAAGGGATGCAACTCTGCACAGCGAATCGCGGCGCCTTAGACGACTGGGCCACCCATGCCCCCAAGTATCCATAGAACAAGTGCAGTAAACTACAGTTGTAACAAACTCAAAGGGACCACGAATTTTAGATTGTTATATCCATCGTTTGTTAGACCATGTTCGACCGTCGGACATCTTGGATCAAGTCATATGACCACATGATGTTACTCGATAAATAACTCGATATTAAGTGTGCACAGTACATTAATTTGTGTAGCCTTACTTAAGATTGTTGTCTGTGATATATGTGGACATACACTGGCTTTGATGAGATCAACAATGTATAAGATGGAATCTGTGATATTTTATGTTTATGCAATGATTCTGCACTGTTCTGTATGTTGACAAGCTTGACATGATGAGGTAAATATATCATGATCTCGCACACTTCAATGTAGCAGAAATCTTTGTATAAACCACATTACCTAGAAAGTTAAAAATGATCCAGGAATTGAAGCATCCTTCAGTAGTATCAGGGCTCTACACATCTTCCCGAGGCAAGGGAGTTAACTGACTATAAAAGTCCAGTTTCCACCCTTGCGGATCTAGGCCGGAATACCTGGGTTCTCGTAGTGCCACCAGTGGCTGTTACAAGTCCCTTCTATTCCTCTCCTATGGACCAATCAGATTCCACCTCTTGTATCACTTGCATTTGCTTCAAACAAAATGGCGGTGCCCAGTCAAGACGATCTGATCGATAATCAAGATCTATATCGCGAAGTGCATCAAATCACATAAGCACCTTGATTAAAAACTTGAAAAGATCTGGAAAATATCTGTTGACAACGAGTTGGTGGTGCACATGATTTGCAAATCCTGCAATCAACCGATTACAAACCGGATTTCGATTTTGGTGTGCGATTTTGATTGGACTATGCATAGACTCATTAGTCCAGCCAAAACCTAACTCCATAATACCAGCCTAGTTCGGCAAGGGTGGAAACTGGACTTTTATAGTCAGTTAACTCTCTTGCCTCGAGAAGATGGGCTCTACAAGACCATGTATAGATCATGAGGCGTTTTAACTCTCCTGACTAATGATGTTTTTTTACACTTGTTTTTTTTTCATACAGCTATGACATGCAACCTTCACATACCACCGTCACTGCATTTTTGACATCTTCTCTGGAACTACAATGCCAATGGAGCTGAGAGTTTGTCTGAATGACACACCTATTCTAAATATTTGCTCACAGAATATTCTATCTGACCTTAAACATGGATGACTTTTTTTGCTTTATCATAAGTTGTTTGTTTTGTTAAAATCAAACTAGGAACATATATAACATGTAGTGACTATATGGCCTATGCATAATGGCAATTCCAACTGGACAGAATTTGCTGGACAGATTACAAACTTAATATTGCAAATAGTGATCAAAAGAAATTAAATCAAAAAAGACTTTATCATTGCAATTACATGTTAATAAAGTGTGTAACCCTGATTGGGTGACATAAACTGTAATGTAGGTGACCAAGGAAGAAGAATAACAAGGGCCCATTTCACACACTGGAAGTGGCAAATGTCGAAGTTAATATAAATGCTTTTTATCTTTTTATGAAAGTTTGGCAGCATGAGCATGTGGCTGATTTTTGTAGTTTTGAAAAAATGAGCAGAAACTGTAAAAATGTCTGTGACCAAAGCTGATTGACCCTGATTCCGTTTCCTGTATGGAGCAGGCAGGGTGGGTAAAAGCATCCAACCCTTGCCTCAATATTCAAATACGATTTTATGTAGGTGAGCAACAGGACTTGTTTTCACTGAGGGAGTTTTATCTTATATGTATTGTTTAGTTGTGTTTAGGTAGATCCTTCATCTCAGCATGACACTTTATTTTCTAGTCCTAGAATCAGCATTCAAGTCCACATGTGTTTTCACCTAATTTTACAGATTTTAATATTGGTCTTACTTTTATACTGGCATTGTAATATGTTAAGAGCCATATTGTATTGATTTATTTCCTTTTATGGTACCTTTTATAGGAAATGATGTCTCAACTCAATAACTGTATCATTAAATATCATTTACATTTTTTGCGCAAGTTTTTCCCCTTAGATGGCGAGGATCTGCAGATTTGGGGTGAAACATCAGTGTGTTGGTTTGTTGTTTAACGCCGCACTCAGCAATATTCCAGCTTTATGACGGCGGTCTGTAAATAATCGAGTCTGGACCAGACAGTCCAGTGATTGACATCATGAGCATCGTTCCACGCGATTGGGATGCATGGGATCACATGCATCAACCAAGTCAGCAAGCCTGACCACCTGATCCTGTTATTCGCCTCTTATGACAAGCAAGTCGCCTTTTACGGCAAGCATGGGTTGCTGAAGACCTGTTCTACCCCGGATCTTCACGGGTCCCTGATTATCATCCTAGGTTTGTCAGCTTATCCTGGTGCGTGACAGTTACCGATTACTTACATTCCAACTATTGTGGACCTGGAGGCAGTAAGGTTCTAAAATCAACATATGGATATCAGCTATCATTATTTTATTGTATTTGCTGATCTTGTGCCATTACCACTATGGTCCCAAATATTTGTTCTATGTAATTTGGAAAGGGTTTTGTATGGAGTGGTACCGTTCTTTCATGATAACCGTTTTTTGGTAAGATTTGCATCCATGTTAATACCATAAATAAAGTAATGATAGCTTTCAGTTTAAGTTTCACAGCATGTTAAACATGTCACGTTTCCACACAAGCTAAGAATTCAGTATGGGAATTTTGACAATGACTTGGATATATCATTGGGTAGAATTAAGATAATTAAATTTACTATACAGATGGGGGCTGCTAAGGAAATACTGAACTGTACTGTTTGTTCATATTCATTAGAAGACGTTGTCTTGTTTAAATTGGAATGGATATGTTGAGTTTTATCAGATGTGGTAAGAAAGTCAGCTGCTTCCAATTGTTTGTCACATTAGCACTAGTACAGCCTGCTGTTGATGAGAGAGATTGCTGTCTGTGATAGATTCTGGTACAACACACAGGGAATCATTACAATATAACTTGTTCGCTAAAAACAATAAACCTTTTGAACCAGTCTTTTGTGCCTTATTTCAATCTTCAATTTATGGACCAATATGTCCACCTTTGCAGAGTTGTGCAAGAGTGAGTGATGTGTTACCATCGGGGCATGGGAATCCAAGAAGTCACACTGACAAATAAAATGCTCGTTTCAGGCTGAATGGTTAGTTCATGCTTCCATTTCACTGGTGTGCTTGTTTATGAATCAACCCATAGCAACTCATGTCTGTACAGGGGCGGTCGGGTAGCCTAGTGGTTAAAGCGTTCGCTCGTCACGCCGAAGACCCGGGTTCGATTCCCGACATGGGTACAATGTGTGAAGCCCATTTCTGGTGTCCCCCGCCGTGATATTGCTGGAATATTGCTAAAAGCGGCGTTAAACCATACTCACTCACTCACTCACTCATGTCTGTACATTGGCACCATGACGTCATCTATCGTTCATGCGGTCGCATACGATTTTATCCACACTGACCCACACTGTCTCTTTTTTGTTAGTGTGCAAACCCATGCTTTCTTCACTTATAGAAAAGACATTTGGCGTTATGTTAATAAGATTCATTACATTAAGATATGGGTGTAAGTCAGGCCACTGGTTGTATAAAGCTGTCTTGACGTAAGTCAGGTAATTGGTTACACTAACCCATGTTGCCATCAGAGGGTCCAGTTTTTTTTATTTGCATTGGCATGAAAGTCACTTTCAGGTGTTATGCTACATTCTGTATAGTTTTACTCTATTCTTCTATACATCGTGGATTATGGATTCGAATCCTGATTTGGACCATAATTGCCTGTCAGCACTATCCCTCTGGCCACGAGTTTCCCCAAGGGATAATGGGATAAAACAAGGACTGGTCCGCCCGGAGTCTATGTAATAAGTCTGGGCGGGGTATGTCAGTTAACTAGCACTATCAACGGGCAAAGGCCTGGACAAGTACAAGCCGTCACACACACGTGCAATAATCTTGAACACGGCCTTTAATACCATATCATCTCGACTCACTTTCACCAAAGTAGCTTAAACCTGAATCAACTGAAATACTGTTTAAAACCTGTCGAACCCAACTCACTTTTGTTTGATGTTTACGCCTCCCTCGGCAAAATTCCTGCTGTATGGCGGCGATGTATAAATAAGCGTTTCTGGACCAGACAAACCAGTTATTGATATTATAAGCAACGATCCATGTTGTTTGGGTACGATGACACGTAATCAATCAAGTCACCATGCCTGACCACCCAATGAATTTAGTCTCCTCTGACGACCTGCATAGGAATCTTCACGGGCGTATGTCGACATAACAGGATATAGGATACGATTTGAGCTTTGTCTGTGTCAGTTTAAACAGATTAGAAAAAAAGCTGTTTTCGCCAGGGTCCATGATGTCAGGACCATCTTTTAGATCCTGATCTTTGACGACAATCTAATTTGGTAACCTTCAAGAAAGTTGATGTCACTATTCATTATTTCTGCTGTATCAAGTGGAAGAAAGCAGAATTAGCTTGACAAATGTGGTTAGAGTGAGTGAGTTGGGTTTAACACCGCTTTTAAAAGTATTCCAGTTATTCCACGGTGTGTCAGCTTAAAGTGGGAGGAAAGCCCGAAGTGATGCAGGTTTTAGACGTTTACCACTTCGGCGAAACCCTCGAGCATCTGTATGGTCCTGACAAACCTAGAAACATAATCGGTGCGAACCGAAATTCGAACCCACAATCATAGCTTTCTGGTTTGCCCAAGGGACGC